TGGGGGTGCAGCTTGAGGTGGGAGGAGGGGATAGGTGGGAGGAAGAACAGGTTAGGGAGGCGGGGACGAGCTGGACTGGTTTTGGGAAGCGGTAGGGGGAGGGGAGATTTTGAAGCTTGCGAAATCCACATTGATACCATTGGGCTGCAGGGTTCCCAAGCGGAATATGAATTGCTGTTCCTGCAGGCCCGAAACGTCAGCCTTTCTGCTCTTATGATGCTGCTTTGCCTGCTGTGTTCATCCAGCTCTGCACCTTGTTGTTTCGGATTCTCCAGCATCTGCAGTTCCTACTATCTCTCTTCTAAAACCTGTCTGTCTGCCATAGGGTCATATAGCATGGAAACAAACCCTTCAGTCCAACTCATCCATGCTGACCAGGCTTCCCAAACTAAAGTAGTCCCATTCGCCTGCATTTGGCCCTTTAAACCTTTCCTATTCATGTACCTGTCCAAATGTCATTTCAATGTTGTGACTGTTGCTTCTGGCGATACCAACACCGGGCTCTACGTACAATTGTTCAGAATGAAAATATGGCCAGGGTCTGACTCACATTTTCAGGAACCCGACGTTGAAATGTTACGGCAGCCTTTGCCAGCCTGGTCTAAGTGTGTGGATGCTCAACAGAATATAATCTAAGAAATTACTTTGTGTTCAGTGAAAGATGGGTGAGTAGCTCATATAAAGGATTTTAGCTTGCTCACATGTCCTTTTCTCAATGAGCACAGGGCTGGAAATAAAAAGAAATCCTCCTAGGGTGAGTAAGAAGGCAGGGGTCACAGGGTATGTGGTGCTGACTGTGTTATCACAGATCATTGCTGTCAATCAGTGCAGGTAAAGGTATCAGCTCTGCTGATCTGTGCTGAAGTCACTCTTGCTCTCTGCAGTGAGCAGTCAGTGGAAATCTAAAAAACTCTATTGCTTAGATTGTGTTTTACAAACCCAGAGAATAAAACTTCTTGGTAAATGCTACTGATATGCACTCTAGAAACAACAACAAAAAATTCAAGCTCTCCAAGTGTTGCATTTCAATTTGGTTATTGCTTAATGTTGAGATTAATGAAAACTAAAGGCTTATGATTGGATAGAGGCAGAATGATAATGTTCAGAGGCTTATTCAGAAGTGTACTTCATCCAGGGGCAATCACTATGAAGCGTCACTGAGTTAGCTCATTCCTTTCTGACTGCTCCTCATTTACAAGTATCTTATCAGCTCCTTATAGCCGCATGTCCCAGCAATATCGACAATATCAGCCATAAGGGAAAGGGTGCTCTTTCACTTCTGTAAATGAATGAGTCAGTAGTTAACTTGAACATCAATTGTAATAAAACATTCGCGATGTATTTCTGTGAAAGCTCCTCTCAAAAGGTAATAACATGTTTTTGAAAATGCTGTTATCTTTTTCCTCCAATGTCTTTTTTACTATTTACGTATAAAATACAAGGTAAACAATAGTAAAGTTAAATTGGAACTTTTATAAAAAGCTTGTTTCTTCCAGAGATTATAACCTGATATTGTCCTAATATTATTAGATAAATCTTTGTATTTTGGCATATTCTTCAAAGGGCTGAGTAAATGCATTGTGACATTACTGAGACATGACCTGGAACATAAAGGAAGAAGGAAGCTGCACTTACTTTGGCTTCTCCAGTGGCTCTGGTTCATTACGAGCCAGTCCTGCAGGGCTCTTCTCAGCTTCTTCTGCTGTCAGTAAGTGTAACTCAGCCTCCACTTTACCCTGAAAACAGAACAGATGCGGTGAATGGTTCTTTCACAAATCAAAAGTGATGGCCACTCCATGTGGCTTCTTCCGGAGTGCTGATAGGACCATGTTTGCAGTTTGCATTTGACCTGAGAGACTGAGGCTTTATTCACAGTGACAAGAGGAAAGTTAGCATTGAGCTACCAAACAGGGGCCTTCTTGCTTGTATGAAACCTATTGTAAAAGGTGCCTGTATAGAGTGAAGAAAGATACAGTCCACATTTGCCAATGTTTATTAGGAGGTAGCATTCATATCTTTAGAAAAGATGATATTTTGCTTATCTTTTTTGGTTGCTCTGTGTTCAGTGAAATGAACGAGTGATATGGCAGGTTATGGTTGTGGAGAACATGTTATAATTATCACCCAGTGTCTCACCCATAACTCACCTAATGTTATCTCAATTTCTCTTCTCGTTGATCTGAAAACATTTAGTTTGTGTCAGTGTCAGTGAGTTATTGGGGAGACAGCAACAATCCCCATCCCCACTTGCCATAGAGCTGGCTGGAGTTACTAAGTAGAAATGTGAAAGTATCAGGGTAGATAAATCGAGGGGAGCTGGATTCAAGACTAAATTCCTGCTCTCCCACCAGACAAGGGTATGGATTTGGAACCTTAAAGTGGCATATTCTAGTGCAAAGAACCCCTTTATTTGATTTATCCTTCCATTACCTAACACAAAGGAACTAAATCCAGTTGTTGTGTCTGTATTGAAAGTATACAAACTGAGCCTTGAACATTTTGATTATTTTTTGTTCCCATATTGATGGATGTATTTATCCACTCTGGTTTTAAGAACCATCAGTGTATTTACACAACGAAATATGAATAACCACCAAATTATTCAGTGAAAAATGAATGAATCTGGGAAATGGTCTTAATTATGACTATCTAGCCAGAATTATATGTTACATATGAAAGAAAACTTGGAAAGTAGAAGAATGTGTACAATAAATATCAAATGTGGCCTTTGCACTTCAGGATATTATAACTCTAAGTAATTTTAAATATTGAGCACCCCAAGTAAAATTGTGTAGAAAGTGTGCTCAAAGTTCAGCCTCTGTCACACATAAACTATCACTGAAATGTAGGTGAAATAGAGTAAAAGTCATCATTGTCCCAAAGGGCTGTGCTCTCATTAGAAAAAGAGATGACCGATGGTAGTTTAACCTGAGGGTCACTATGCCCCAGGGTGAGGGAGAGTCCTTCATGGTAACCTCAGCTGGTGCAGGGATTGAACGCATGCTGGTCGTTTCAATCTGCATCACAAACCAGCCAAATGAGCTAACCAATGCCTTCCTGCTCCTCTGATGCTGCTTGGCCTGCTGTGTTCATCCAGCTCTACACCTTGTTAACCCCTTCTCCATCTCCTGTGGATGAAAGAGTTATCAACAGAATCTATCAAACACAGTCGAAAAATGTTCATGTCACCTGAATTGTATTCACGCATCTCTGATTGCCTAAGAACAAAACCCGTTTTTCTCCTTGTCAAAGATGTAAAGCAGATACAATTGAATTGAGACTTTATAAGTTAATAAGGAAAAGAAACTTGAATTTTCTTGTACCAAGAGTGTTTAGCATCGGTTCTTGTACGGACTGAATTCTGTTTGAACTAAGTGAAAATTGTGGCCTGCATTTTGGGGTAATATTGATGGTGAAACTGTTTATCAGTTTAAAATCTATTGAAAACTTCTTACTGTAAGCTCCATTTCATCATTTTCATTTCTGGCCACAAATGGCCACCAGCCCTTCACCCTCTTCTGTTTAAAAATGGAAACAGTAGGGAAAGCAGATTCATCTGTAGCCATTTCAATGGTGCAGAGTTTAGCTGTTTTTGCTCCACGTGTAAATCGGTTCAGGTCCAATTCAATCGCACCTGCCAGGAAAAAGAACAATGAGAAAAGAAAGAGTCAAGTTCAAGAAAACTGCCTCAGGATATTTTGTTTCTGCTTCTAAATAAATATCTCCTTAAATTCATATTGTTGAATGTGTATTGCTGAAAAAAGAGCCACATTTTGTTTGAAGTTTTTATCCTGCATTCATCAAGACAGTTTATAAGAATGTCAATGAGAGAGTAAACCAAAGGTTTTGCTGAAACATTTATGGTAAAAACACGCGCAGTGCATATTTTGTGTGCAACAAAAAGGCTGTGTATTAATGTATGCAACTTCTAGTGTGTGCATGTACATATTAACATATACACAGCCAACCCACCTATTGCACACCACAAATACACCACACTGTGAGCCTGACTGACAATCCAAAATTGGTTGTCAATGTAGTTCTTCACACAATCTGATCTACATTTGCTAAATAACTCCATGATGGAATCACATTTAACTAGACACTGTTGTGAGGTTTACAATGAACAATGCAACATTCACAAAATTAGCAATGTAGTTGACTCTTAACTGCCTCTCTGAAGTGGCAGAAGTGACAGAACACGCCACTCAATTCGGGTCAATGAGGGATGGGCAAAAAACGATGACCTGGCCAGTGATGTCTCCTCTTCACTATGGACATACAATCCATTTCCATGTCCATCCCCCATCAGGATGGTCTCAGGGCTCTTCAATTCTTCCTGAAGCATCCCCATCCACCATCACCCTCCTCCATCCTCAATGTCATCCTCACTTTGAATGACTTCTCCTTTAACTCCTCTCACTTTCTGCAGGTCGGGGGTTGGCCATGGGTATGTGCACGAGTCCCAGTTATGCCTGTCGCTTTGTGGAGTACGTGGAACATTCCTTGTTCTAGTCCTACTCAGACCCCCACCCACAACTCCTTCTCCAGTACATGAATGACATCATCAGTGCTGCTTCACTCCCTCAACCAGAATTGGAAAAGTTTATCAATTTCGCTTCCAATTTCCACCCCAATTTCACCTTTACCTGGTCCATCTCTGACTCCTCCCTTCCCTTACTCAACATCTCTGTTTCCATTTCTGGGGATAGACTGGCCACCAATATCCACCGTAAACCCACCAAATCCCACAGTTACCTGGACGATACATCCTCAAACCCTGCTTCTTGTAAAGACTCTATTCCATTCTCCCAGTTCCTTTGTCTCCATCACATCTATTCTGATGATGCCAATTTCGATAAAGGGGCCTCCAAAATGTCTGCCTTCTACCTCAACTGAGGATTCTCCAGCACCGTTGTTAACAGAGCTCTCAGCCGAGTTGAACCCATCTCCCACACTTCAGCCCTCACCCCCCACTTCCCCCCTGTGACAGCGATAGAGTTCCCCTTGTCCTCACCTAATATCCCACCAGCATCCACATCCATAGGATCATTAGCCGCCATCGCTGCCACCTCCAGTGGGATGCCATCACCAGACACACATTACTCTCCCCTCTCCTGTCAGCCCCCTGCAAGGACACTTCCCTCCAGAACACCTTGGTCCTCTTCCTTCACTCTCAAAAAACCCACACAGACTCTTTCCCTGCAACCGCAGAAGGTGTAACATTTCTGTTTACTTCCTCCCTCCTCAGTATCCAAGGGCTCAAACATATCTTCCAGGTGAAACAGCGCTTTACCTGCACTTCTCACAATATAGTCTACTCCATTCGCTGCTCAATGTAGTCTCCTCTACACTGGGGAGACAAAATGGAGACTGGGTGACTGCTTTGCAGAATGCCTACGTTCTATCCCTGAGCTCCCAGTTACCTCCCATATCAATACATGACCATGTTCCCACACCAACATCTCTGTTGCAGTCTGCTATAGTGTTTTAATGAAGCTCAGTGTAAACATGAAGAACAACATCTCATTTTCCATTTGGGGACTCAACATGAAGTTCAATAGCTTTACAGCCTGATTCCATCCTTCCATTTTTTTAAACACACCCCACACTCAGTCTTGTTATGACATGAGCTGCTTTTAGCACAGTCACCCATTCTTAGCCACTCCTACGCCTATTATCACATTATATGGGTTGCTTTCAGTACAGTTCAGCCTTTCTCTCAGACTCTTAGCTCTTGTTCTGCTTTTCTTCTGTCCTGGCCTGCCATCCATAATCCCCTCATTTAACTACCCCTTTCATATCTCTCCCTCTGGGCTCCATTTCCCCTCTCCCTCTCCATTCCCAACTTCATCATCAGCATAAATACCACTTTTCCCCCCAGATGCTAACAGTTCTGATGAAGAATCACCAGATTTGAAACATTAACTCTGCTTTCTCTCCACAGATGCTGCCAGACCTGCTCAGCTTCTCAAGCACTTTCTGTTTTTGTCACCAGATACATGTTCTGCAGCTTGTATTCTCCACACAAAGTTACAAGGCATATTCTAAATATATTGATATTTGGCACTATAATGTATCAGTAATGGGTCATTGTGTATTGACATTGCTCCTATTGGTCATTCATTATGGGCTATACATTTTGACCGGATGCCTTGCCTATGAATATCTTCCAACATTGTAAGGTGGTAAATTGCTTTAAAGAGCACCTCAAAGTCAGAATATTGCTAACATATCCACACTACATATTCTCCTATATTATCCAAGCACCATTTAGAACTCTTCAGGTCTGTAACTGCATTTGTGACAGTTTCTTGTACCTAATACTCCTTGCAAATTCACAAGCCCTGGTTTTGAAAATGCACATTTTAGAAACACTGGATAGAGGAAATCTTATGATGTCGCTGTACATCTTAGTCGGATGAAAGATAAATAAAAACTTATTGTTTGTTCTCACTGGTGTACCCACAGAAAAAAAGATCAATTTATTGATTTAATGGCCCCAGATTTGTCTTTCTTTTCTTCTACACTGTCTTATTTTCACCCTTTAATTTTCACTCAGTGTGAAATTCCATCAGGTTTTGTTTATAATTTATAATAACAAAAGATGAGTTTAGAAACCACCGGAAAACAAAATCTGATCAAAATTCCAGATTTCTGAGCATGCTAAAGGGGTGAAATCCTTCAGATCTCTACCACCACATTTGCAAATTTTTCAATGCAAGTGGGTTGAATAAAATGGACAGTGCTCTTTACATTCAAGTTGCATAATTGCTTTTAAGTTCCAGTCCAATCTAACCTTAAAAGTTTTTGAAGCAAATCAAACTCAATATATAGAGAATCTAAAAAAAAATAGTGATTTAGCATCCGACAATCACCCACGTTGATTTATTGTGTTTAACTGTAAAAACTGTCCCGAGGTAATTTCAGGGAAGCCAGGTGGGAGTGAAGATGTGCTGCAGCAAAGGGGATGCTTGAAAGAGTGTACAGAAGCTATTTTAGTTTCCAAAGGGGCTTTTAGAGAAAATGGCTGATGAAAAGGAGAGTGTTTAGAGAGAATGGGACCCAACTGGCTGATGACAAACTGTCACAGTTAAATTAAAGACACAGGGAGAACAGGTAATTGGGGGGATTTGCAGATCTGGAAGTTACCAAGATAGGAAGAAGCAAGGTCATGAAGTTTTTTTTTCTCTCTCCAGGTTCATAAAGTGTTTAAAAGACAGGTGTGAGAATTCTAACTTGGAGACATTGGAGGGTTAGGTGTTAGTGTAGATTAGTTAGGACAGGAGTGGTTGGTGATCAGAGTTTGGGTTAGGACACAGGTGGTAAGGTATTGCATAAGCTGATGTTCTAGAGTTTGGGGATATAGAACCAATTCAAATTTTTCTTCAGCATATTCTATTTCATTCTAGGCAGGTAGCTTTAATTTGAATTGCAGATCCTAAAATATTCCAGTTACCAAGATAGAGAAGGAGGCAAATTGATTCATTTCCCTCATCTGTGAACACAATTATTTCACAGCTGAAAAATATTCCGAATGATAAACATGCATTCATGCTTTCCACCTAAAGAAAACATAGATTTAAAAATTCTGGAGTGAATGCTTCAACAGATTGCACAGAGAAACTGGATTAACACATACCAAGGAAGTCATCTGCTGAGAAATGGTCAGCATCCCACACTTGCAGAGTCAGGCGAGCTGGGATCTTGTACTCTGTCTCATCCCAGGAAAACATGGATTCCTTCTTGGAGATGACAATCTTCTCCTCAGCCATCAAATAATCAAAGGGGAAGATAAACCTCCAGTTGAAATTGCCTTCGCCAGTCAATGAATGATAGTGTACGTCAGTGTCTTGCTTGTCCTCCTGTTGTCCTTTCAGCCAGCTATGAGATACAACCAAATAATCATAATGTAACAGTAACTCTTAACAACTACAGGACTGCAGGGAAGTTATTTAATTTTGTTGATTTTGGTACAAACCAAAAAATAGTTGTTTGCATTTGATCTTTAGGAGATTTTTGCATTGTCACAGTTTTTGAAAAGAATAGTCCAAATTAAACTTGGTTTCTAATTGGAGCTCACTTCGCATTGATTTTGTTCAAGAATGTGGGTGCAACATTTCCCTGTCCTAAGCACTTGATGATGAGATTTTTTTCATATTTGCTGTGATAATTACAAGTTCGGTTTTGATGAAGGCATTTGGAGGGGAAATGGACATGATGGTGTTTCCAGCTATCTGTTGATCTTGTCCTCGTGTGCAGTGAAGGTCCAGCAGATGTTGAACAAGACAAAGGTCTGAAAGGTTTCATATAGGATACTATAGGAAATGATGACACTGATGACATCATACAGTTTTAGGTGGGGCTTGAAGGAGTGTCAACGAAGACAGATGTATCATCAATGTCTCCTGAAAGTTTTAGTTATTTTGTCTAACTGGCCATTGTAACTTGTACTTTTCACGATTAAACAATAAATTTCATCTTGTTAAACTCACTAATGGTTCAGCCTTTAACACTTTAAATAGGCCTTAGACCCACAGCACATGACCCAAACATGAGCAGACAGTGGTTAGTTCCACAGTATATATAACATGGGGGCAGAGGTGGGATCATTGTGCAGTTTTATCTACTTAAAGATTAAGTTGCCGTAGTCTCAGAGGACTGCTCTCTCATTGGAGAGAGGGAGATGACTGGTGATCGTTTAACCCAAGGGTCATCATGCCTCAGGTAAGGACCTCAATCAGTGCAGAAATCAAACCTACACAGTTAGCATCAGTCTGCATCACAAACTAGCCATCCAGCCAACTGATCCCTGATCATTAAGGACTTACTACTTTAAGAATACTTGACAGTGAACCAGCAGCTGCAAGCACTTGAACAAATAGGCCATCTACAGAACTCATGGGATAAACAACAAAGCACAAAGAGAACTCTAGATTAAAACCTTCACTTCTGTCTGGAGGTGTGTGATCTCATAAGAACTTAACAAAAACGAATCACACTTGGTCATAAGAATTCTGAGAGAGAAAGATCTGTAGGGGGCAGTCCTCGTTCGAGGTTTGACTGGGAAGCAATTGTATTGGAGTTCTGTGAGTAAAGATAAAAATCTGTTAGCTAAAAACTTTAAATTAACAGCACACAGGATGAGGCTGGGAAAGATTGGAGTTAAAGAATAGTACTGACCATTCACAAATGGCAATAACATTATAGTGAGCCCACACCATGAGGCCCAGCCTCTCTTTATTCATTCACACGAGCTACTGGACACATCTGTATTTATTGGCCATCTCTAATTGTCAAGATGGCAGGTAACACTTAACCACATTGCTGTGGGTCTGGAGTAACACCTAGACCAGGCTAGGGAAGGACTGATCCAGATGGGTTTTTTCAACAATTGCATGGTCACCATTAGACCCTCAATTCCAGATTTATTTTGTTCTGCCACAACACAGTTTATGAAAACGAATAGTCCAAATTAAGTCCAGGTTCTATTTGGAGTGACTTCACATCGATTTTATACAAAGATTGTGGACACATTAACTTGTCCTGACCAGTAGATGATGAGGTTTTTTTTAAAAATATGCCACAGCAGCATTTGAACCTGGGTCCCCAGAACACTATTTGGGTCACTGGGTTAATAGTTGAGCAATAATACCATTAGGCCATTCTTTTCCATTGACCGAGACATTAGTGATGTCATGATGAATTTGTATCCAGGCTGCAGCATCAGGAATATCATGGAGCAAATGATGATAATGGAGCAGAAGACGACAGTCGGAAAACTTTAAGACTGTGATAAGAATGGAATATTAATAATTTAAACAGTGGTTTAGATGGGAAGATTTTTTTTAAGGCTATAGCCTTAAGGTTTAATTGAAAAATTGTGGAAAGTATTGCACATTGTGTTTTAAGCTATGGAAGGCAAGAAAATGTCCAGTTTGCTCGTGAAAAAGCAGGAAATTTTCAACTTAGTTGCAGAAGGCAGAAGCTGCTATTTTGACCACAAAAAGACAGGATGATGCATAGTTACTTACCATTTAGACCACTAGACCATTTAAAAGTTTAAAGGGAAAAAATGTGATCTTGCGCAGTTTAAAAGCTTGCAAAATGAATACAATAAAAATAACAAAGGAATGATACTACTATTGGTCACTCCCATCACGTGCAGAGTTAGGATGCAGTTCAGACAACAAAAAATCTAAATGCTTTCTCATACAAAGATTTCATGTGATGGAACCAAAACCACAGTAGCAATTATGAAAAAGTCATATTGTGCTCAAAATGTTAACTCTGACTCGCTGTCCATTGGTGCTGCTGGAGAATGGGTACAGATAAGGACCTAGAGGAAGGGTATGGTTGTTCAAGAGTCAGCAAACAAGCAGGAATTGTATACTGTCTCTACAGTTGGGGACATTGCATGCCAGGTCCGCAGGAACCTTCTCTCATTACGGAACAATTGTCCTGCTTGATTGGAGCAAACCCAATGAGGAATGTCGTGATGGAAATTATTTACAGATCAATCAAGGTTAAGATCAGAAGGCTGACAACACTCAAGGCAAAGACCTACCAATCTTCCAAGTTGTGGAAGAATTATGAACCTCTAGATCGCCTGAATTTGGGAAATCAGAAACATGGGTGTTGATGGGGTAGAGCTGGAAGTAAATGTAGTTACATACCCAAATGTACAAACATTACCTATTGGGGGGGTGGGGGTGGAAAGGCTTGGAGGGAAATGTTGTGTAAAGAATTGATTCTGGATTAAATGTCGGAGACTATGTTCAGTTCCATTCAAGTGATAATGTCATACAACCTTAGGTGAGGAAAAGAGGAGACTAGCTCAAGATCCACATGGGGACAAATGTGTCATCAGAGTGTCTCTTGATTGGCTTGTTAGGCATAATAATTAAGACTATATAACTGGATCTATTGATATTATGTAATAAACTACAGCTTATTAAGACATGCATCTCTTCTCATTAAGACTCACTTGTGGTTCATCCTCTATCACTATTAATTAAATAGGCTCTCAACAGCAGAGGACTGGTGACAGCACTTGACCCCAACATGAACTGGTAGTGTTTAGTTCTGCTGCTCATACAATAGGCCAAGCTATTGATGACCTACTTATTTCAGCCCATTTGATCCCATTTCCCAGTTATACCATTAAGTTGCTTTTTAGGAGACTAGCAAATCTTTGTACAAGAATAGGTCTGTAATATATTCATCAACTTCGGTGGGATATATAACGCAAAAACCATCTATCTTATTACTAGTCATGATTTCAAACCCTCGATTGTAGTTTATTTTAATGCACATAAACTGAAAATTAAAAATTCATTTTTTAACTGTTCTGGAGAGATAGACGTCACTGCCAAGCCCAGCATTTATTGTTCATCTATAGTTTGCATTAAGGTGGTGATGGTGAGTTTTTTTTTTGAACTGTTGCAGTCTGTGTGTTGCAAGTAATCTCTCATTGTCAGTAGGGAGTAAGCTTCAGAATTTGGACTCAGCAATAGTGAAGTGACAGTGATATATATCTTTAAGAAAGGTTTGTGACTTACAGTGGAAGGTGAGAGAGACAGTGTTCCCTGACACTTGTTGCACTTGTCCATTGATGCAGAGGAGGTTCAAGGGGTGTGATAGCATTACCTATGTATAGCAATGCCTACTTTGAGCATTTTGTTTTGTAATTCCAAAATCTAATTTGTTTTTGATCACAATTCACTGTTTGAAAAGTTGAATTCCCACATCCTTGTTGTTAAGGTTTATTAAGTATTCAAACTAATGAACTGAAATAAAGACTTCACTGTAGTCAGCTCGACTACAACCCAATCTTTACTTTAGGCCCATTCATCATGAACTCAATTGTTATTCCTTGTAGAGACTGTTCTCCACCTCTACTTCTGTCCCACAAAGGAGCGTAGCAACAATATCGACAATTCAAAAAATAGCATTACGACTGAGGAGAAAGAATTTGATTGAGAATTTTACGATTACATCACTGAGTTTTTGGAGAGAACTGTGTCTCTTTAAAACAGGTATTATCAAAGTTATGTTTTGATACAACACCAAGAATGTTTAGAATGTATGCTTTTGTTGAGTCATGCAAACCCCAAAAAACATGCAGCAAGCATTCTAACTGCAAGCAAAGTCAACATAAAACCTAACTACACTGCAACACCTAACACCAGGCACACAGCAACTCCCTGTAAATGAGGTATGTTTTCTGTGAAATACCATGAAACTTCATTTTATGTCACATAGGATATGCTTATTTTAAAATTAGCTGCAGACCAGGCAAATTATTACTGGCTGTTTTTCCAGTTTGCTATCAATATCGATTAAGGTGATACCACCTGACAGATGCTGATGTGTTCAGTCATAGTTATCAATTTGAAGATAGATTTCATGCGGATTGGAAGAGTTCTTCTGGTTTGAAACCAGTCATGTTTCAATGTAGCTGTGTCGAAGTGCACGTTATAGATTTTGATGCACTTGTCAATCTATTAGTAGCTTTCATGTATTCAGAAACATACCTCTTAACACAGTAAGACTGCTGTTAGAGTAACAGTACATAAAGTAACAGAACTTAATCATTGTCCGCATGGCCCACGCTAAAAAAGAAGAGTCCTGAAACTCGAAGAAACAAAATATTGATCTACAAATATTAAAACCCATCACTTTTAATAGAAAAGGAAAATAACATCAAAAAGTAAATAGCTGATGGACATCATTTCATTTAACCCTTTGAATATTGATCTCAATGCATTGTCATGTCATCTGCTTGATTCCTTTCTGCTGCTGTTGGAAAAGACATAAAAATGGCTAGATCTTTTTAATTTCACCCTTTAGTTCGTACGAGGAGCCAGGCAGGTGCCATTCTCATCAGGAGTTTCAGCACCAGCTTGCTATTGTAAGTGCGATGAGAGGCATTTCTTCCTCTGGAATATTCATTAAATAAGCTAATGAAGTTTCTTTTCATTAGATACAATATATCATGCATTTCTCAAAAGGGTTAAATGCTTTTGTAGAATTTTAAAGTTAATAATTAACTGAACCGATTCATTTCAAACAATATCAAGGTTGCACATCAAACAAAACTCATGGTGCTTTCATGGTTTGCCCCCACGGGCCTGTTTGTATCAAAGCTTCACAGCAGGACACTGCTGCAATCAGACTTCTGCATTGCTGCTATGAAATCCTATCAGTTATTAACACATTAGTGAATGTACAAAAAGTTAACAACAGTTGGGACTGCCGCAAATGGTTGTTAAAAATTGAAAAGCATGTAATTTTGCCTTTTGTACTGATTAACCTACTCCATCTCCCCTTTGTGCAAATGATGCTGTTGGATAATGTATTACATATAGTCATGCATGGCAAGAACTGGCTGCAAGTAACATGGTCATTTTCACTGCAGGAACAGGTTGTTCAGTCAGGCATTAGACATGTTTGTATGACAGCAACAGCTGAAACAAACACAACAGCAGAGCAAAGTTAGGAATTCCTCTCATTTTGCTCGTTCTCCTTTCATCTCACAAGTTAATGTGAACTGATAGCCTACAATTTGTGAAATTAAATTCCTCTTGCTTCTTTGTTTCTTTATTCCTCTCATTGGAATTGCATCTTTCTGTAATCTCCCAGAGTCAGGCCAGCAGCCAGGTTGTTTTCAAATATGTCCGAGATCATGATGTGGAGAATGTTTTATACCCAGCTGAGAGCTGGTATCGCTCATGTGGACAAAATGGAAAATATTGCTATTTTCGCTCTAATGCAGAGGTTCTCAAATCAGAGTCCACAACCTTTAAGATAAACACTGTCTTAGGTGCTGATGGTCTTAAATGAATGAGCTGCGTTCAGAGGCATGCTGCACAGTACATTCCCCTGTAGTGCTGTTCTCTGTGTTTTTTCTTGCTCCTCTAGTACACTCTTTGCGTTCATAAACCTGCATGCTCATTCTCTTTGGCTCCTTTCAAGCTGATGCCATCTGAGGTTTCCTCCTCCTTCCAGACTGCACTCTCTGCTCCCACTTCCCCCAAATTCCTGCTTTTGTCATTCTCTGCATTCAGTATGGTGTGCTCTCTGTTTATTCCTGCTGTTACCCTCTGCTCTGCTCTGAATGGGCTCTTGCTATCACTCTGGTGAGCCTGCCCCTTTTCTATCCCCTGTTATTTCTGCTACCCATTCTGCTTTTTATCTGTTTTGTTCACCCTGGGCTCCTGCTCTATATCTCTGCTCTTGCCAAGAATAGACAGACACTGCAATGAGAAGTTACTGGTATTAATAAATCAATACCTGTTTTTTAAAAGTATTAATAAAATAGATTTTTATGCAACACGTTCATACTGTATTATCTAGCACTATAATTTAAATGGAGGCTCCATGATTACAAATCAATTTGAAAAAGGTCCCTTCAAACAAAAAGTTTGAGAATTACAGCTCTCTAGATACAGTCCACCCAGCCTAAACAGCAGGCCATGATAATCAACTTAAATGAAAGCCTTCCACATCCTGTCTTCTGAAAACATTTTATTACTTAATGTAACATTCAGGCAAAAACCAAGATGTCTTTCAATTGGTTTGGGGGAGGATCTAAAGAGGAACCAAAGCCGGAAAAAATGTAAATACATTTATTATCGTGATGGTGAGATGGCCCTTCAGTAAAGTGATATGCCACATGGTAGTAGAATGCAGGTTTATACCTGATAGTCATACTTGATTGGCTTCTGATCTTATTTGAGCTACCAACTGGAAAGTAGCTGCAACCCTGTGTGAGGAGGAAGAGAAAGTTTCAGGGTGATGCAGCTTAGAAGTTCTCATGTGGCGATGCAAAGGGCTACAGGTACCTGAAGATAGGTCACAGCCCACTCTTAAGTGAGGGGAATGTTGTGGTGTTTGTGGGGAGATGAGGACAAAAGGTAGTTGAATTCTGAAAGAAGGGAAGAAATTAACCGGTGAAGATTCAATGTTCATTTTCTTCATTAATATACAAGTGTTCATCTTGAAACTGTCATTTAATAATTGATAAAGCTTTATTTAAAATAATTCTGTTTTTATGTATGCTATTGGCTATTATAATAAATTATAACGTACACATTGTTAGAATGAGGACAATACGTTACATCTAAAAGAATTAAAAGATGACTTTTCTTTAAGAATCTATCTTTGAGAGTTGTATGAAATTGTCCTACATTGAAAATGTATAATTTATTAAGGCATTGTGAATATTGCATTTACATTAGATGTAGTGCTGCATCAAGGAGCACTAATATGAGTGGTTACTGAGTCAAAACTTAATTCATTCATGGAGATTCCAATCTAATGATTCCAACTTAAAGTTTTACAGTCCTCATGCACCCACAGGCAAATATTTTAGTTACTTTGTTGCATGCTTTCTGAGAAAAGTAAAATTCCTGTAGATTTCACCCAGAGTTAACTTAAGCACCGGTTATGCACGGGAATATGTGCAGTTGGTCTTTCTGCTTATATCTACCAGTTTGCATTTGTTAATCATCAAGCGTTTGAAGCGTGCCAGTCCCTGGTCCATGCTTGCATTGTTTTGTTTTGTATGCTGTTGAGGGCAGGGTCTCAACCAGAAGGTCAATCCTTCATAACATTGTATAATTGTTGTTCCACAGAATGAGACACTGAAGCAGACTATTGTAGCACTAGTCAAAATGAATTTATACTCAGATTAATTGGCATCTTCGATCTCACTTGATGTCTGTTGAGAAATTAAAGATTCTTATCCTGTTGCAACTTAGGTATACACAACGTATATAGTAAGATGAATAGAATGTTGTTGGACAGAAAACGAAGAACCGGTTATGAATAATGTGCTCCAAGAATTGGTGCTAGGTCTGCCTTTGTTCTTGATATACATAGATGATTGGGCATAATGAGAAAATTATTAACATTTGCTGATGACATAAAATTGGAAAGATTCACTAACAATGGACAGGACTGCAAAGGATCTTATCAGAATTAATGGAATAGGCAGACAGCCAATGGAGTTTAATTCAAAACATGCTGTGATGCATTTAATTAGGATAAACAAAGAGGAAAAATATGAACTCAGGAGGAGTGACCTTGAAGTGCATAAAGAAACAATTTTTGAATGAAAATACATAATTTCCTAAATGTGTGAACTCAGCTCGATGAATCCAATGACATTTTGGGTTTTATAAATGGGAGTTTTCAAAATTAAAGAACTAAACAAATCAGACCAAAGTTGGAGCACTGCATACAGTTTAGAGTTCATTATGGATAGAATGTTATACACAACCCAAACAATACCAAGGATGTACAGTTGTGATGAGGAGAGACCTGTGAATTTTCACTAAAACAAGGAAGGATTACAGAAAAAGTTCATCACAGAGGGTGTTCTTTTTAAATTATAATTAATTTTGGCAGAGAGAATTAGACCAGATTGTTCCCTTTGCTTGGGGAGTCAATGACAAAGGATCATCAATTTAAAATTGTCACTAGATAATAGAGGAAGAGATTGGGGAAAAAATGTCCTAATATAGAGGATTGTTGGAGTATGAAAGCAAGATAACAATGCAATAAAAGCCATTTCATTTTATATTTTAATCATAAAACAGTTTGTAAGCTTACATTTAATGTGCATATTTTATCATTAAACGTGGTAGTTAGGTATTTGGAGTTAGGCCACAAATCAGTCATGATCTCATTGAATGGTGGAATAGGCTCAAAGGGCTGAATGGCCTACTCCTGTTCCTGTGGTGGGTATGTCAGAAATAATCCTTTTGGTGAATTTCTTACAGGAAGTCATGGGGCAGAGCTTTCTTTTTCTTTAAGATAAGAATTTGAAATAGTGGAAGAGACAGAGCCGTGGGAAAATGGTCTGTGACCTTTTTTAGATTATTTGAACAAATGATTGACACATAGATAATGAACTTAATGGCTGTCTTCTAAACTGCAAATCTCTTTCATTCTAAGGAATTTCAGAGAAACCATTTCACCCATGGCACCCTCAGAACTCTAAATAAATAGAGGACAGATAACCATAGTTATCTGCAGGCTTAATGAGACAAATAATGTTTTATACTTAACATTTGTTACGTTTTTACCTTCCAGGGTTTGAGTTATGGTGGGTTGGTTTTCCAGCAAATCTGAATTCCATCTCTAAATCAATTACTCATTCCAAAAACCAAAATATTCATATTGTAGCTGGAAGTTACAATAGTGTTTTCCATGCAGGGCATGGTACTGTACTACAAGCAAAATGTGAAAGAAACCAAAAGTATGTTTGGTATGGGTTTGAAATGCAGTTAAATGTAATTGCTAATAGCTATGTTATGAAAATATATGGTGAGATATGAATGATTGTTCAGCATAGAGGGGAGGAGCCATGCAATAGTATCATTACCCCCTGACATAGATGTCTGACATCTTCTCTCCTGTCATGAAAGCATCATCTTCAAGAACAATGTCATCAGTGTTCCAAATAATAACACGCAGTTCATAACTGGTTAACAACAAAAGCAACAAACAAAGAGGAATTAGAAAAAAAAGCACTTCACGATCCCAACACAGGTCACACAGTTGTACATACCCCCTGACAAAAATGTCACTAGATTTCTCTCCAGTGAAGTAATCATCGTCTTCCAAGATAACCTCATCAGTATTCCAAACTATCACTCTAAGCTCATATCTGGCAGGGAGGAAGGAAGATAAGGTGAGATGCTGAGGAAGAAATAACGTTGAATGCACATCACACCTACCTGTCGCATTCTGTCTGATCAGTGTTAACTTTCCACACACAGTAGAGATTCCATTCAAAACATATCAGAAATATACTGATGGATTAGTTGTAAAGTAATAACTAAAGGGACAAGGATGGAATTGTAAAACTTAAACTGAGTGTGTTGCAAAGGTGTCACCAAAGTGCCCTTAAAAATTTTCTGTTATTGAATTCATGTCGCCTTTACCATTATGTCTGTAACCACTCTGCTTATTGGGCCTCACACAACAGGGTAATATGTCAAATACAAAGGCGCAAGAATCTGCCAATAACCCAGTACTGAGGATTTGTTTGGTTTGAGATTTTAATTGCATCAACACTGAAACACCAATTTTCGACTTTAATATTGTAGTGACTTCAATTTTCAGCAGTGACCAAAGCAAGCTGATCAATAGAGAGGACAGTTGATTTCCCAGACTTGCTTTATTTAATGGTGAGTGTGGATTGTGATAAAAAAAGAAAGGAACTCTGACCTAAACAACAATGATTCAGTCAGGAATTGGTGAGCAGAGATTATCCATATTGCTTGAAAAATAATCTTGACACTACTTCAGTACCTGGATAGTTAGAATATTATATTTCCATTTAATTTATAAATGATATGCAAAGAGATGTCTCCAGGCAGCAACTGCAAACCAAATTACTGAGGAGTAGGGTAGAGCTACAGGTTGAAAATTTCTCCTGTAACATGTATGAATAATGATTGAATGAGACAACTATTGAATGTGAATTGCTGTCAGTAATTAGTATTTGTTACCAAATTGGCATAACCTAATTGTGTTGAGCTTTGTTTTCCAGGATCCTGCAGTGGATGATTACACATCCTTGAGGTGAAGTTCAACTTCCACTGTCTAGACATGCTAAGTAGTATCTAAAGACAGCTCAGACCATAAGGAAAGATATGGAGGAAATAAGTGCTCATTGAAGTTCATCAATCCTAGTGGAAAACAGACACTTCCCAATTCCTGGACAGTCAATATGTACTCTATGTAGTGCAAAGAACATTGTAGAAATTCATATTCAATTGTCATCGTCTGGAATTAATTTCATTCCTCTGATAACTACAATTGAATGGACACTTAACTGCATACCCTACCAACCTGCTCTCACCCCCTACCAGTTGAGAGCTCCTAAGATAGAGAACAATCCTTTTTGGTGTACTAAGTACTTGCTTTATGATTATTGCATACAAAATTTGCAAAATTAGTCTTGGTGACCCTGTTAGAAGTTTGCAGTAGACTTGGGTCCAATGGACAGTTGGTTAAAGTTTAATTTCAGATGTTTGACTAGTGTTAAATGTGTAGAATCCGGTATTATTGCTTTAAATTCTTTGGTTAAAGCTAAAAGCTAAAGTACTCTACAGCAACACTTCAGTTCTCATCTTCACTTTAAAATGGATAGTCAAGAATTGTGAGTGCATACCCTCCATAAGAACATCTTGATATAAAGTACTTTTTCTTTCCACTAGATAATCAGAAAACGGATTTGTAACACGATTAACAGCATTTTTGACACTCACAGCCTTAGTTGCTATGTATGTTATTAGATCAATGCACAAACCAGCTAAAATGAGCATAGTTCAGAGTAAAATATTCTATAGGCCATGCCAAACTATTCTTCATGTTCAGTCAGGAATTGTTTTTTTGAAACACTTACATTGTTATTTACAAAAGGAAAATGTAGCCAAACATAATCAGTGTCAGAAACTTGACTGAATGCTGATCAGTTTGAATGGATACAGAATTAATTAATTTAAGTTAAAATAGGCAAGGAATATACACATCTTGATTCCAAACAAATGTTTTTTGGTTCTTGTGTGAGATTTGGATTCTAACTAATTATGTGAGAAAAGAAGAGAGAGTAGTTAGTAGGAACCAAACAAAAACAAGAACAAAAAAGTAATTGTCATTTGGTAAGTTTGTTTACCAATATCAAAATTAATGGGGAGAGAACATTGGGCTCATCAGAAAATACAAACTGGATGAAACCTGTGCGGAGCTGGGTTGCAAAAGAGGAACAAATTTAAGAAAAACAATAAGAAGCGTGTAAGGCTGCTTTCCCTCTTCTCCAATTACTGCATTTCCTTCCAAAAACTGAAATTGCTGGAGAAACTCAGCAGGTCTGGCAGCATCTGTGGAGAGAAAACTGAATTAACAATTTGCATCCAGTGACCAAAGCAATAACTGTGTTTCTCTTTTCACAGATGCTGCCAGATCTGCTGAGTTTCTCCAGTAATTTCTGTTTTGTTTCAGCATCTGCAGCTCTTTGTTTTTGTTTAATGGATTTCCTTTCATTGGAGACAAAATAGCCTCTGAGCATCGTCTATCAGGGTCTGACATGTTTGACACCGAGTTGCTGTTACACAAGATTGTGATTACATTGATGTCACCATACCTACTATTCAAGTTACTTTGAGGGTTTTCTGGAGGTAAATGGTTATTATTTCAGGAAAAAAAGAAGAATACATTAATCAGTAAAATATGCATTAGCAGGGCAGCTCTATTGGGTTTAATTTGCTATATTTCACATCCTTAATAAATGAGAATAATTTACTTCTTTGGCTTCCGTGGTGATATATCAATTGGCGCTCCTGGTGCAGGCATGTCCTTTGGAAACATGTCAACGAACATTTCAATGCGACCCTGAAAATGATAAAGAAAGGGAATTTTAAATGAATTACTTGTATTTGTCTGCCCACTTCAAAATCCTGATCAAAATTTCTAGTGTTGGGATTGGCTTTGGCAGCTGTCCTGCGATAGGAAAGTGGGACATGTGCTGGTAGCAGGTGTATGCCTTGCTGCAATATTTCCACTTCTCAGCCAATCAGCACAAACCCCTTCTGGTCTCAAACTCCTCTTCCAAATGTGTTCCGCTGGCAGGAAAGTTACAGTGGATTCTCTACTCAGGCCAGAAGTAACAATTGTACAGGTAGTTCTGCTGTAATGCGTGTTTTGTTAATGCGAATTGGCTGGAATGCGAATGAGGAATAGTGGAAGTTGTTTGGATAATAAAACTTTCTGCTGTACAGATATAGAGACTTCCTATAGTGATTTCCCAAAAATATAATTTTCTATGGCAATTTTCTATTGCGTGATTTTCTCTAGCGCAAGGTCATGCAAGAATGTAACTATCGTGTTCTTGGAGAACTACCCGTAGTCAGGATGGACCAACTCACTGTGTCAGTTGCTTACTTTGTAGAATAGCTTACGTTTATTTTTCAGATAACATCAGCGTACTCCATAGATTAATTAGGGAAATATAAGGGGGAGATTTGAACTGTTTTCTGGGAAAATTCTTCACCAGTATCATAAACCACCAATGTATTCTTTCTTCCTTTGTTTTCTATGACTTCAGCTAAATACCCACATTCTTCCAAAACACTAATGAAATGTCAAGATGTACAATTAACTACTTCTATTATTTATTGTTTGATAATTGTGCATTGCAATGCTCCACATCTTTTGTTCTCACTTCATGATGGGGTTAGGTAATACAATATGGAGCTCAGCCTTTTGAAGAATGTTCATATCTGTTGGTTCATTGCTGCTTAAGCAGAGTTTGGTTGAAGGACCTCACAATGCCTAGATAACTGAAGTCAGATGGTTGGTTCTTCAAGACTGTCCCCAGTAACTGGCACTGTGAAGTCCTTTCTATCGGGATGTGACTAAAACAATGTCATTTTGATCTTTGGTCTAAAAGTTGTAGTATGTTTCAGTGGCATTAATTTTGACATCAGGTTTGCAATAGTATCAAGTATCAGGTCAGAAATGTCTTGAAAGCAATATTTCTCTGCAAGAGATCAAACATAACATTTAGATCCAAGTCAGGTTTCTTATTACATCTGTATTTCTGAAAAACTGAACTGAAACTGGTCCTAAGTAGGATTCAAACTTCAAACTCTTTATATTATCCATGTCCCTGATAGAGTTTTGCCTGCTGCAAATTTATAATTGAGTGAATGCTGTTTACAAGTTCCCAGCCCATTCTAATTAGAAAATTATGGACTGTGGTTCTCCATTTTTTTTGATTAGCATTATTGTAGAATCATACAATCCCTACAGTACAGATAGAGCTCATTCAGTGTGCATCAACCCTCTGAAGTCCATCCAACCCAGACCCAGGCCCCTGCCTTATACCTGTAACCCTGCATTCCTCATGGCTAACCCTCCTAGCCTGCACATCTTTGTAGACAAGGCCACACTTTTTTTTAAAATCCACACCACCTTTGTGCCCTATTTTCTGTACCTGCTCAATGCCTGGTTTCTCAGGGTTTAGCAGAGGTCTAGTTTCCACATGTTCAGGGACCAACTTGCAGCCAACTCGTGGCAACTCCTCCCAGTGGTGTAGAACAATGAGGGACAAGTGTTCATCGGTCTCTTTCTTTACACCTGATTAAGACAAAGGAAGGACATCAGTTAAACCAACATTTCCAAACGTCACTTCTGAATATTCTTCAGGAGTACATTTCTGACACTGTGGTGCTGGTGAAGAGCCAGCTTCTGTGTATCTTAGTGAAAGTGAACACCGTTGAAATATCTTTTTTAAAAAAATAAAATTAAAAAAATGAAAACATGTTTACCTCAACAGACTGGATAAAATGCAGGATCCAGGACATCTAAAACCTAGATGCAGGAAGAATGTTCCCGATGGTGGAGAAGTCTGGAACTAGGGGTCACATTCAAAGAATAAGGGGTGAGCCATTCAGGACTGAGATGAGGTAGAATTTCTTCACTCAGAGTTGTGAACTTGTGGCATTCTCTCCCACAGGAAGTTTTTGGGGCCAGTTCATTAGATATATTCAAGATGGAGCTGGACATGGCCTTTGTGGATAAAAGGATCAAGGGGTGTGGGGAGAGGGCGAGAATGGAATACTGAGATTACATGATCAGCCATGATCATATTGAATGGTGGTGCAGGCTCAAAGGGCCGAATAGCCTACTCCTGCACCTATTTTCTATGTTTCTATGTTAAGTTTGTTGTTGGAGCTGGAACATTAAAGGTATGTGGAGGGTACTTCATCACATTCCCGAGTTGTGTCTTGTCGATGGTGGGCATGCTTTGGGGACAGGAGGCGAGTAACGCACTGAAGATTTCCTAGTTTCTGACAATATGGCTCAGTGGTTGGCACTGCTGCCTCACAGCGCCAGGGACCCGGGTTCAATTCCACCCTCAGGCACCTGTCTGTATGGAGTTTGCACATTCTCCCTGTGTCTGCGTGGGTTTCCTTCGGGTTCTCCGGTTTCCGCCCACAGTCCAGTGATGTGCAGGTTAGGTGGATTGGCCATGCTAAATTGCCCATAGTGTCCAGGGATGTGTAGGTTCAGTGGATTAGTCATGGGATGTTACAGGTATAGGGGGTTGGAGGTGATTCTGAGTGGGATGCTCTTTGGAGAGTCAGTGTGGATTTGTTGGCTTGAATGGCCTGTTTCCACACTGTACGGATTCTATGATGATTCATATGGCTGGTCCAGTTCAGTTTATGGTCAATACTAAGTTCCAGGATGTTGGTAATGGGGTATTCAGTGATGGTAATGCATTTGAAATGGTGTCAGAAGTTGATCAGCCCTGGCAGAGCTCAAACTGAGCAGTGAGCTGGTTATTCCTTTATAAGGCACTACACAGGTCATTCACATGATGTCATTTATAGCAGGAAGGAATGAATACGTTTTTGAGGCTGATCAAAACATTTGAAATGATTGATGAATATTGACAGCCTGCCTGTCAATCCCTTTGAATGATCACATTTGTAGATGTACACATGTATCTTGGAATAACTGCCAGAGCATTACACTCTGTATCAAAATTCCACCATTTCCATGGAGATGCATTTTTTCTCGGCATCTGTAGTGGCTAAGTTGAAATTATAACTATAACTGGTGGGTCATACGTGACTGAACTGCCAGAGGAAGTGGTGGGTGCACGTACCATTATAATGTTTAAAAGACATTTGGGCAGGTACACGAATTGGAAAGGTTTAGAAGGTTATGAGGCAAATGCAGGCAAATGGAAGTAGTTTCGTTTGGGAAATCAGTCGGGATAGACAAGTTGGACCAAAGGGTCTGTTTCCGTGCTTTATGACTGCATGACTGAATGGCTCTATAAGTACCACTTGATAGCACTGTTGATGACCCTTTCCATCACTTTGCTGATAATCAAGAAGAAAGTCATAAGGTGCTAATTGGTGGGTTGGATTTGTCCTGCTTTAAATGGATAGGCAAAACTGGGCAAGTTTTCATCTTGAATCAGAGATAGTAGGAACTGCAGATGCTGGAGAATCCGAGACAACAAGGTGCAGGGCTGGATGAACACAGCAGGCCAAGCAGCATCATAGGAGCAGAGAGGCTGACGTTTCGGGCCTAGACCCTTCATCAGAAAAGGGGGAGGGGAAGGGGGTTTTGAAATAAATAGGGAGAGAGTGGGAGGCGGATAGAAGAGGGATAGAGGAGAGGATAGGTGGAGAGGAAACAAACAGGTCGAAGAGGCGGGGATGGAGCCAGTAAAGGTGAGTGTAGGTAGGGAGTTAGGAAGGGGATAGGTCAGTCCAGGGAGGACGGACAGGTCAAGGGGGCAGGATGAGGTTGGTCGGTAGGAGATGGAGGTGCGGCTTGAGGTGGGAGGAGGGGATAGGTGGGAGGAAGAACAGGTTAGGGAGGCAGGGACGAGCTGGACTGGTTTTGGGATGCGGTAGGGGGAGGGGAGATTTTGAAACTTGTGAAATCCACATTGATACCATTGGGCTGCAGGGTATACTGCATCCGCTGTACCCGGTGTGGCTTCCTCTACATCGGGGAAACCAAGCGGAGACTCGGGGACCGCTTTGCAGAACACCTACGCTCGGTTCGCAACAAACAACTGCACCTCCCAGTCGCGAACCATTTCAACTCCCCCTCCCATTCCTCAGACGACATGTCCATCCTGGGCCTCCTGCAGTGCCACAACGATGCCACCCGAAGGTTGCAGGAACAGCAACTCATATTCTGCTTGGGAACCCTGCAGCCCAATGGTATCAATGTGGATTTCACAAGTTTCAAAATCTCCCCTCCCCCTACCGCATCCCAAAACCAGTCCAGCTCGTCCCTGCCTCCCTAACCTGTTCTTCCTCCCATCTATCCCCTCCTCCCACCTCAAGCCGCACCTCCATCTCCTACCGACCAACCTCATCCTGCCCCCTTGACCTGTCCGTCCTCCCTGGACTGACCTATCCCCTTCCTAACTCCCGACCTACACTCACCTTTACTGGCTCCATCCCCCCCTCTTCGACCTGTCTGTTTCCTCTCCACCTATCCTCTCCTCTATCCCTCTTCTATCCGCCTCCCACTCTCTCCCTATTTATTTCAAAACCCCCTTCCCCTCCCCCTTTTCTGATGAAGGGTCTAGGCCCGAAACGTCAGCCTCTCTGCTCCTATGATGCTGCTTGGCCTGCTGTGTTCATCCAGCCCTGCACCTTGTTGTCTCAAGTTTTCATCTTGTTGGGGTGGATGTCACTGTTGTAGCTCTACTGGAACAGTTTGGCTAAGGGCATAGTCAGGTTTGGAGTACATGTCTTCAGTACTATCGCTAGAATATTGTCAGGGCTCATGTCCATTACAGTATCCAATGTTTTTAACGATTTTCTGATATCACGTAGAGTGAATTGAATTGATTGAAAACTGGTATTTCTGCTGCTGGGGACCACAAGAGAAGGCTAAGATAAATCATCAGCACTTCTGGCTGAAGATGGATACAAATACTTCAGTTTTATCTTTTATAATAGGTCTGCCTACCATTGAGGATGGGGATATTGTGGACTCAACTCCTTCTGTTAGTTGTTTAATTGTCTACAGGCATCCATGACTGGGTGCAAGAGATTAGTTTTGATCCATTGGTTGTGGGATTGCTTAGCTCTGGCTATCGCTTGCTGCTTTCGTTGTTTAGCATGCTAGTTGTATTGCATTGTAGCTTCACCAGATCGACACCTCATTTTTATGTATTCTAGGTACTGTTCCTGGTCTGCCTTTCTGCATTCTTCACTGAACCAGGGTTGATCTCCTGGATTGATGGTCATGGTACAGTTGGGAATATGCCACGTCATGAGGTTAGAGTTTGTATTTGAATATAGTTCTGCTGTTGCTGATGGCCAGGGTGCCTCTTGGAGGACCAATTTTGATTTGCTAGATCCTTCTAAGAGTCTGTCACATTTTATCCAGTGGTAGCACCACACAACATAGTGGAGGCATTGCCACTACAAGGGCTGTGCAGTCTTCACTCCTATTGCTCCTGTCTGAGGCAGGTAGATTGCTGAGGACAAGATCAGGTAGACTTTCCCTTGCTGCAAATCCAGGCTAGCAGCTACATCCTTCAGGATTTTAGCAGCTCAGTCAGTTGTGGTTTTACAAAGCCAGGGTGGGGTGGGAAAGTTATTAGAAATTAGGAGGGGGTCATGGGAAGGAAAGGTATTTTCCTAGTGACTTTTGCAGGGAGGTTTCCCCTTAGGCACCGAGCTCCTTGACTTCAGGATTATTTTTCCCTCCCTACTGAATGCAGTAGGACTTCAGTGACCACCGTTCCTGGGGGTGCCACTGAGTTCCTACTCCTCTGAGTAGGGTGGCCGCCATTTCATTGGCATCTGCTCATAAAATTCAGGGCAAAGTCCTAGCAGCTACTGAATGAACCAGGAGAATACATTTCCTTCCAATATTGGATTGAATGCTTGACCAATCACTTCTTGCCCAAATTTTTGGATTGATGGAACTGAAAGATGCTGGAGATGAACAGTTTTTTAAACAATGGCAGAATCTGGGGAATGTGGGGAAAGGAAAAGAACAAAAGGGTCCTTGGTAGTTGATGGTGGTTAAATGACAAAACTATTGCTTCCGTACCATTTTCATCCTCAATCTCTGTTGGCCCTGTAAAGACTCTGTTAGCAACCTTCACTCTTCCTCCTGGTCCGAAATGAGGTCCGTCTATTTTGTTTTCTTTGCAGAGTTTGGTCAGCAGTTGTGTTGGTTTCACAGGATCTCTCCACATATTGTATCCATGACTGTGTATAGGAAAAGCACATCATTAAACATTGCTGGCTTAATACCCAGCAGCTACAGAATATGTCTAAATGAAGATAAGATTCTTATCACAATGGCATTTTAAAGAGATCCCTCTATAGTTTATAATGTATTCCTCAGGTCAGCCTTGCTTAATATTGGTGTGAGACTGACTCCCTGTGAGGGTCTTCTTCTGCTCCCTTGATGCTATTCCAAATAAACCTTTGCTGACCCAGCTTCCCCTCCTGGTTTCCAAGTTAAGCAATATTGTTAATAGCGCTCTCTCTCTCGTAAATCTGTCATCATCATCCCTATCAACAAAAACATAACCCTTGGCCCTGTCTATCTTACAAACCGCTGCCCCAACTCTTAACTGCCTTTTTCTCTCCAAAGTCCTTGCCATGTTCCAAATCCAAACTAGATGGTGGTATAGTGATAATGTCACTGGATTAGTTATTACTGGTTATTAGTTATCCAGTGACTAGGCTTAAGGGGCACAGGTTCAAACCTTACCTCAGTAGATGAAGAAATTTAAATTCAATGAACAAAATCTGGAATTGACAGATCATTTCAGTAATGGTCACCATGATTGTCATGGTTCCTTTGGTGAAGGAAATCTACTGTCTGGATTACATGTGACTCCAAATCCAAAGCAATGTAATCTGTCATCTGAAATGGCCCCGAAAGCCATCAGTTCAAGGACAATTATGATGGGCAACAAGTGCTGCTCTTATCAGTGATGCCCACATCCCTTGAAAGAACAAAATAGACCACACCAGTTTTTAACTCTCAAAAATAGTTTAAATCATATTTATCTAACTGCTCCCCTAACTCTCAACTCCTTTCCATTGCCCACCTATCTAATTTAAACTTTAATGTTGGCAGATATGAACTAGATTAGATTTGACCAAATAAACTTCATTCCAGAATGCTGAGGGAGGTGGCTGCTCAGAGAATAGATGCATTGGGGGTTATCTTCCAAGATTCTGTGGGTTCTGAAAAAGGCCTTGCAGACTGGAGAGTATGAAATGAAACCCCACAATTTAAGAAGGAAGGAAGAGGGTGAATGAAGAACTGCAAACCTATTAGTTTAGCATCAGTATTTGAGACAATGTTAGAATCTATTATAAACAATAGGATAACTGGACATTTCATAAATAATGGTAAAATTGATCAGAATCAACACTGAATTATAGAAGGGAGCTCATGTTTGATGAAGTTAGAGGTTTTTAAAGGGGTTACGTGCAGGATTGATAAAGGAGAACCAATGGATGTGGTACATTTGATTGTCAGAAGGCTTTTGATACACAGATTGGGAATGTACCTGTACGGGTTGAGAATTCTTAACAGACTGAAAGCAGAGAGTAAGAATAAATGGATCATCCTCAGGATGGCAGGCTGTTATGAGTAGGAGCAACACAATCAATGGTCAGTGCTGGATTCATAACTGTTCACAATATATATAAAAATTATTTGGATGTGGGGACCAAATTATAATATTTCCAAATTTGCTGGTGATATCAAACTGTGTGGGAACATCAGTTATAAGGAAGATGCAAGGGCTTCAAGAGGACTTGGACAGGACTAGAACAAGCCAAATAGAATATAATGTGAAGAAGTGTGAAGCAATTCACTTTGGTAGAATAAACAGAAAGGCAGAATATTTCTTAAATGGAGAGGGGATGGACAATGTTAGCGTCCAGCTGCAGCAAACACCTAGGAAGGCAAAAGTAATGATAGCCTTCACCTGAATGGGATTTGAGTACAGGAATAAAGATATCTTACTGCAGTTGGACAGAGCTGTGGTGAGGTCTCACCTGGACTAGCGTGTACAGTTTTGGTCCTTTAAGTAAGGAGAGATATAATTGCCCAAGAGGGAGTGCAATGGAGGTTCATTAGATTAACCCTTGAGATGGTGGGAATGTCTTATGACGAGAGATGGAGAACACTGGGTCTATATTCCCTTGAGTTTCAAGGAATAAGTGGTGATCTGCTTGAAATTTAAAAAATTGTCACAGGGCATGAAAGGTGGATGCAAGATGTCATCTCTCGTTGGTGAGTCTAAAAGCAGGTGACATAATCTTAGGATAAGGGCTAGTTTATGTAATATTGAGATGAGGTAGAGTTTCTTCATTCAGAAGGTGGTGAACCTTTTCAATTTTCTACCCCAGAGAGCTGCAGGAGCTCATTCATTGAGTATTTCAGGAGACGAATTATTTCAAGGGGTATAGAGAGAGAATAGAAACATGGCACAGAGATAGATGATCAGTCTAACTGTAAAATTCTCTGTGGTAGAACTTACTCCTTTCCACAATTTTAAACGTCTCTCTTTGAATCTTGTCTCTGGAGCTACCAAAAGCAGTCTGCTTTGATCTACTCTCTCCAATCCCTCCTTATTCAGTTTATGACATTTGCCCACATTGTTCTAATAAAATATTGCTCCCCTCTGTACCTGTTTTGGATGGCCACTGACGGAGGATCCAGGGTATAAAGTAGAATAATTCCCTGCCACTCCTGCATATTGTGCCTGTTGTCACACTGCCACTCCTGTCACACTCCACCTCCTCACTTGTTGTCCCCTTCCGCTTCCACACCGACCAGCAGAGTACCCTGGATTTGCCTTTACCACTTTCAGCACAGTGTACTATCAATGTATTCTCCTTCTATCATCACACTGCAGATGCCAGATACCTGAACTGAAAACAAAGTGCTGGAGAAGCTCAGCAAGTCTGGCACACAGAGAGAAACAGAATTAACATTCAAGTCCAGTATGACCCTTCTTTAGAAGTTCGGGAGTTCCAAAGAAGAGTCATATTGACCACAACCGTTTCTCTCTGCACAAATGCTGCCTGGTCTGCTTTGTTTCCGCAGCACCTTCTGCTATTATACCTGTCTCATCCTTTTTTTAAACCACTGCATGGTCTTGTGCATCTCTATCTTTGTAATCTCCTTCAGTACAGCAACCTTCCAAGATGTCGGTGTTCCTCTAGTTCTGCCAGTTGTGCATCTCAGATCTTAATTGCTGCAGCATTGTCAGCTTTTCCTTCAGTTATCTAGGTCCCAACTACCTTCCAGATCTCCATCTCCCTACCTCCTTTCTGACACTTTGTAAAAGCCTCTCTCTTTGACGAAGTTCTCAGCAATCTGACCTAATATCTCTTTATGTGGCTCAATGTTGTATTTTGTTTTATAATAATATTGGGGTGTGTTATTATATTAAAGGCACTATACAAGTTGTCATTGTTGTTGGATCGCTCGGATTCCTATGCAAGTTTGCTAACAATCTACACATTGCTACTTGAAACAGGGACTACATTATTGTCTCAAATTGTTTGAACCACATTCAGTGAAGTTAATATTCTGATATTAACAGATAGAGATGATGATTATGAATTTGGGTGAAATAGAAATTAAACCCAAGTGGTACAGCTAAAATTCACTCTTTGATTTCAATAAGTACGGATAGTCCTTGTCCTATATTTTCACTTTTTGTAACTTTAGGCATAAGTTGATTAAAAATTAAAACAAAAATCTTTTTCAGTAGAGAAGAACATTAACACCATTTATGCAACATAATCTACAGGTAATTCAGACTGTATGTTAATTAGATCAAACAAAATGTTAAATGACTCACACAGAATATTGCTGCGCAATGCCACATGTTGCTCTGTGTTTGCTGTAGTAGCGATTTTCCAAGTCTAGTTTGGTTTCTCCGATTAGATCATCTGTACCCACTAAATCCCAGTCATATATTGACACAGTCAGCATAGACTCCATCGGAAATGTGGCTTCAATATCAAAAGACCTGTTTAAGCAGGTAAAGTCAGATGATATGACTGCCCAAAATGTCAAGTTATTATTAGAACATCAAAATTTGGACGATAACAGTTTGATGTAAAACAATTTCCTTTATGTGAATAAAATCCACACTTCTTAACATCTGTTCAGAGAACCTGGGGTACAAATTCTGCAAGGTCGTTGTTGAAAGTGTGGCACAGTGGAACTATCACTGCCTTTTGCTAAGGTCATGCCCCTACACCCTGAGAAAGTGCCAATTCCCCCCTGGGATCTCATCTCTTTTGTGATAGCCAGTGTGAAGACTGGAAGTTTGGAATGGCATTCTGCAGTCAAATCAATCTCAAGGAGCCAGAGGTGTAATCTGCCCAATACTAACCACGGTTTCTCTGATTTGAAGACAGGTTTTATCCGGGTGCAGTAAAGAGTCACCTAATTTTCAGCTTGAAATTATTGCAAAAACAATGCCTGATTCCAACAGATTCATGAACCGGCCCAGAAATATTCATCAGATACTCGCCCCCTGCAATCCCCTCCGCAAACTGTCACTATCTTGTTATAAGGATTGACAGAAATAATCCAAAACTCTATCAAGGGGTGAAACGGTGGCTCAGTGGTTTGCACTGCTGCCTCACAGCGTCAGGGACCCGGGTTCGATTCCACCCTCGGGTGACTGTCTGTGTGGAGTTTGCATGTTCCATGTGTGTCTGCGTGGGTTTCCTCCGGGTGCTCCAATTTCCTCCCACAGTCCAAAGATGTGCAGGTTAGATGGACTGGCCACGCTAAATCACCCATAGTGTTCAGAGATGTACAGACTAGTTGGATTAGCCATGGGAAATGCAGGATTACAGGGATAGGGTAGGGGTATTGGCCTGGGTGGGATGCTCTTCAGAGGGTTGGTATGGACTCAATGGGCTGAATGGCCTGCTTCCACACTGTAGGGAGTCTGTGACTTTATCCTCAGGATTAGAAATTTCTGTGTATTGATTAGCAAGGTAGAAAGTGACTGATCTGGGTAGGGTACACGACTACTGCCCCAGTCCTGTTTTCTCTGAGAAAGCTGTAGTTTTCATAACTGAATCACAATGCCCACACAATCTGCTAGCATAGTCAGAAGCCATTTGGCCCATGGCATCCCTGCTGGCTCTTTGATCCACAACATCTCACACAAAAAGCCATTATTTATTACTGAAGAGACAGCATTGTTCGTACAACACATACAAAATCAGAACTCGACTTAAACATACTGGGCTTGTGCTACACATGAGATCTTCCTCCATATTTGGTGGATTCACTGACAGTACTTACTTTCCAAAAACAGGATTGAGTTGCTTGGAAATATAGTTCTCCTTGTCTCTGATTTCTGTCTTGCCGAGTTTAACGACAATGTACGGATCTGCTTTACCATTGATGTCAGCTGGATGCAAGTCTGTGGCCTAAACGCACAAGTAAAACAAACAAACAAAAAAAAAGTCAACAAGGCAAATCAGCTGAATTTTAATGAAAGACCAGGAATTAAAACAAATGATTGCAAACACTGCAAATCAAATTTAAGAAATTAAATGAAAGAATATTGATCAGGAGATTCTGTTGCAACCCTACGCTCAAAACGTAAGTGAACCAATCAGCAACAAACACGGGAAAGAAGCAACACACAATAAAAACAGAAAGTGCTGGTGAATTTCAGGAGGTTTGGCAGCATCTGTGCAGAGAGACACGAAGTTAATTTTCTGAGTCCGATGTGACTCTTTGTTTCTGTTTTTATTTTCCCCTCAACCCTATACATTTTATTCTGACTTAAGTAATCACCTAATGCCCTCTTGAATACCTCATTGGAAACTGTGTCCATGATTCTTCCAGGTAGCACATTCTGTACCCCAGCCACTCACTGCATGAAATAGCTTTTATCTTACTTCGCATTTTCTTCTTTCACAAAAGACTTTAAAACTCTGCTTTCTGGTTCTCAATACATTTATGAATGAGAACAGTTTCTTGCTGTCCACTCTGTCCAGAGCCTGCAAGATTTTGAAAACATCTAACAGATCTCCTGTTAGTCTTCTCTCAAAAGAGATCAGTCCCAACTTCTCCAGTCTTTCATCTTACCCGAACTGTCTCCTCCCTGGAGCCATCTGTAAACCTTCTCTGTCTAATGCATTCACATCATCCTTATATGTGGTGTCCAAAACAGTACACAATACTGCAGTTGAGGTCTACCCAGTATCTTATACAAGTTTACTTGTACTCTATGTCCTTATTTATGAAGCCTAGAATAGTGTAGCTTTAGTTAAACTCTCCACCTATCCTGCCATCTTGAATGACTTATGGACATATATACACACAGGTCCCCTGCTACTGCACATTTTTTGGAATAGTACCCTTTACTTATACCACATCTTCATGTTCTTTCCTTCCTTAAACCAAGTCTCTTTTATTGCTATTACATCATAATCCCATATGGCAATCTGTGCCTGTAACTCCCCATTAACTGTACTCCAATGCTGTCGTGTACTGTAATCCTGATTTGGACTTCATAACTATTAATCATATTTATTGATTATATTCATTACTTCACCTATTAACCTACTATTTCTCTATTTTAGTACTGTTTATCTCTCACCGCATTTTGTGTACCCTGATATTGCCTTTCTGCTATTGTCTCCTGGTTACCATATTCCTCCGGAATCAGAGTAAATCTTCTCCAATGGCATCAGCAAAACGACCTGCAAGGAACTCAGTCCTAACTCTATTTAGATGTAACCCATCTGCTTTGAACAGTTGCTACCCCCTCCAGAAGCTGTCCCAGGACTGTAAAGCCCTTTCTTCCGCACCATCTTTCCTGCCATGTATTCATCTGCCTTATCCTCACACATTGTACTCGCTTGCATGTAGCACTGGGAGTAATCTGGACATTATTATTAGAGCTCATGCTAAATAATTTTCAACCTAGCTCCCTAAATTCTGATTGCAGGGCCACATCCTCTTTCCTATCTCTGTTATTAGTACCAATGTGGACCATCAACTACTGCACTTTGACTCCCTCCCAGAATAATGTCCCATAGCCGTTTTGTGACATTCTCGCGTCTAGCACCATGGAGGCAATAAATCATCCTGGAGTTACAATGAAGGCCTCAGAAATACCTGTTTGTTCCCCTAACTAAATAATCAGATTCCTCTTGCCTTCCTCTTCTTCCCCTCCTATACATATGGACCATCCATGGTGTCACAGGCTTGGTTCTTTCTCCACTCTTCTAAGGATCTACCGTATTGACCAATATCCAGAAAGAAAAACTGGTGTGTGAGACGGACCTCTGTGGACTCCTGTACTATGTGCCTGTTTCTGTTCAATTGTCTGGTGGTCATCCATTCCTGATCTGCCTGCTGGTCCCAAATCTGCTGTAGACACATTATGTCCAATTTTGTTGATTGAATTGGAATGACCAGGATCCATGGAATTGAAATTGTGACATTATTGGCCAACCATTACAGCTTAAGGTAAACACACCAAAATGACCCTTCAATCTACAAGGTTTAGGAAGGATAGAATTCAGGTTGGTACTTCAAATATTAGCAAGAATCTCAGCAAAACTGTTGAAGTTGTGAGTTTTGCATTGTTGTTAACTATTTCACAACTGTCTAAAACCAGTTATTTCAATGATCCAGTTCAAAAGTGATAAAAATATTCTGAATAATTTCTGAAAGAAAGAATTGCCATTTTTAAGAAGCAGAATCCGTTCAAATTTTATGACTTTAATAATTATCCACAAACATAAAACTCATCAACTTTCATTTGACTTGATTGGTAACCACTTACCCTCACTACATATACTCTGACTAAAACATTGACAAGGTCATTGTTTGGAATTCCCTGGAACATCCCAAACGTGGGTTCATAACCTGCTTCTCGAGCAATATCTTCTGGTAGAGGTACTTTGTACACACAGATGGAGCCCTGAATTATGTTTTAGAAAGCAAAAAACTTTGATGAGACAATAGAATACTGATAAGAAATCATCAAACATAGAAGTGAGCAAATATGTTTATCAATTTAATTGATTGAGCTAACGCAAGTTTGGTTACTTGATGCTGGAATCTATTGAACAATTTATGTTGAAAAACTGACCTAAAAGATAATTTTAGTTATGTTTATTTAAAATATATCTCAATCTGTTTCATTATTGAATACTGATAAGTGTGAAGAAGAGAAAATCTCTCTTTGCATCTTGCTGTCTCAGCTTTCTCTGGTGTGAAATCAAAATTCCTCTGTAAAAATGGTATTTCATCAATAAATGACCTTTACGCCCCTTAATGACCTTTTACTTTCCTTTGAATTAAGCAACCAGCTACAGGAGTGTATTGCACAAACATTTTTTGTTTTGATTTTTCACGGGCATCACTGGCCAGGTGCTTTCCATTCTTACATGCCCTTGGGAAGGTGAGCTGCCTTTGGAAACAGCCATTGTGCTGTTAGAGAGAGAGTTCCAGGATTTAAACCCAGTGACAGTAAAGGAACACTGAGATCATTCCAATTCTGGATGGTATGTGGCTTGGAGGGAAATTTGGAGTGATGGTGTTCCTATAAATCCACTGCCTTTGTCTTTCTAGGTGATAGGGTCCACAGGTGTGGAATATGCTGAAGAAGCCTTGCTGAATTTCTGCAGAACATTTTGATGATGGTACACTGAAGTGTGCACATTCAGCCTGGATGCCATGTTGGAGTTGAAATGGCAACTAAATGAAAAAGTGTTACCACAACTAAATTTTAAGACCTAAATCTTCTAGAGGTACATTTCAAGAAAAGCTTCAACTTGATCGTGGTATCTTGCCAAGTTATAGTTTCTATCTTTTATGGTGTTTTACTAAACCAGTCTAAAAATAGGGTCAGCTGATGTACCAAGTTTGAAATGTGAACTGCTTGTGTGGCTGTTCTTCGTTGACATTTTTAAATGTGGAGACAAAAATGCTGGTAATTCATATTAAATTAATGAGGCATAGTTTTCTTGAATAGATGAACTGTACAGAGATATCTTTAACCACAATGGAAGTATTTCAAGTTGTCAAATTCATTGTTTTCACAACGGAGTAATCAAATTCATTCTGAATCATTGTGGCCATGGCATCATTATAAGGAGTCGACTCCAAATCAGATGTTACACTTTCAAACTCATCCCTCCACAACAAATCACGTCCCTCTACTTCCACAGAATTGGATATTCCACATTTTCTAAATGATCTGATAACACTTTAAACACTAATTGTAACTCATAAGGTTGGTCCAATAGTTTGATATTTGCTTTCAAAGTCAGTTACAGATTCCCTAGTGGTGCAGTCATAGTGTCCCCTACCTCTAGACTAGAAGCTCTGGGTTCAAGTGCCACCTCAGGATGTGATGACCATGGAAATGTACAAAATCATGTGGGGCATAGAGATGGTAGATGATAAGGAGAAACTTTACCTATGGTAGAATGATCACTAAACAGAGGAACAGGAAGAGTAAAGCTATGCAGCTTAACATCCTTGGAACCTATGAGGTTTTAGGTTTTAAATCTGAGATCACAGTTCTTTGATTGTTGATTGAAATTCTCAGTAATCATAAACTTTGTAGATCTTTGAGTTCTTGATGAATGTGTGTTTTCCCAAGGTGCTTCTCCATCAGGCACATTGGCTTTCCAAGCTGGCTAACTGGCAGACCAGACTTCCACCTCCCAACATGTCATATTATCATACACACTTGAATTAAACAAGAGATGCAAATTCCTCAAAGCTGATTCAGTTGCTTACTTTTGATGTCTTTAGTTAAAAATTATAGTTTTCCTGCATTGTTTGTTTATTTGTTTAGTCTATTCCACATGGATCCTTGGAAATTTGTCTAAATCTGTGGCCTTGTGAGCATTGTGATTACTTTAGGTCCATCTTCCTTGCTTTTTAAAAACTATTTCAGTTGATAAAAGGTCTCAGGTATAAAAATTAAATGATAGAAGTTAAAATTCGACGTCTATATTTACACGATCATGCCGCATGAAAAATGAATGTGAATATTTATGTCTTCTAATGGTGAGCAATATGGAATATGGATTAACAGTACAAAGAGTGGGACAAAAACAATCTTCCTGGCTTCGACTGAATTTTTAAAAAGAAAATTGTTCATGGGATACGGATGTCATGAATTTATTACTTATCCCTAACTGCCCCTTGATCTGGGTGGCTTGGTAGGACTACTTCAAAGAGCAGTTAAGAGTCAACCACATTGCTGTTGGTCTGGAGTCACATGTAGGCCAGATCAGGTAAGGATGCCATATTCCTTCCTGAAAGGTTTACAACATGCTTGCCTTAGGCCAGATTTTCCAATCGCGTTTAAATTTTGCCATCTACCATGGTGAGATTTCAACCCATATCTCCTGAGAACATTAGCCAGGGATTTGGATTACTTGCCCAGTGAAACTATCAATACTCCACTGCCAAGTTAAAAACAAAGGCAGCGTTTTTGGCTCCAAAAAATGGAATTTTCCTAAATACCAGGTCAATTCATATCCTGTGATCTACATGAATGTAAAACTTCATTCCAGTTTAGTTTAAAGAGAATCTTGAAAAATCGTCCAGTTTAATGAATTCTGGTTTCCAGAGCTGAAAAAGTTTAATCTTTATGATCCAAACTTCAGCTGGACGGAGGTAATCTGGTTTTACTAAAACCCAAAATTCAGGATTGTATTTGAACTTCTGGTGTCTGAATTGTATTTGACTAACCAACGCTGCTTAAGGATTTTGTGCCTTCCCATTTTCCAAACAAACTCCTTTGATTGTCCAAATTTATGAATCAATGTTTACCTTTTATACAGACATTTAACTGGATGTTCTTCAACCACGATGTACTCACTTTAAATCTCCCAACAATTCTTTCTTCATCTGTGCAGCTGTCATCATCATCTCCAATTTTGCCTCGGTAAAGATTAAAAGTGTGGAGCCAGTCTTCAAAGTTTCCGAACTCAGTCTCTAATTCCTTGTCATAAACCTGTGTGTTGAAATAGAATGGTTAACCACAAAAGGCCTTATTGAAGTCTTTCACTTCCTCATTCTTCATTGTAAAGGACTAATAAGTTTGCAATTCTGAAGTTTCCAAAAACCAATCTGTAATATGTGGTGTTTGAGGGATATGCATAGCTATCTAAGTGATTCCTCACTATTTTTGCTACCATGGGCGGGTATTAGAATTTTACAATCTTCACAGAAACACAGAATTTTTACTGTGCAGAAGGAAGCTATCCAGTCTTTGTGACAGCACAAGTTCCTTGAATGAGTCACCCACCCAGTACCATTCCTCTGCCCAGTCTTCCTTTTCAGTTAATTATCGCAAAGTCCTTCTGAAAGTCCAAGTCGAACCTACTTTCAGCATGCTCTCAAGCAGTGTACTTGAGAACTTAACCACTTACTGTGTGAAATGCTTTCCCTCGTATCAGGAAACGGTCCACGTTAGCTCTGTTTTATCTCCACTGATGCTGCCAGACCCCCTGAGTTTTTCCAGGGATTTCTGTTCCTGGTTCTTCTTTATTAAAGCTTTCTCAACCTGTCCTGCTGCCTTCAGTAACCTATGCAGGTACATACTCAGCTCTTTCTGCAACTCCCCACCCCCAAACCACTTTCATTTAAACCGTTTGTTTGAGATCATCTCTCTGTATTCTGCCAACCAAAATTAATTACTTCACACGTTCTGTTTTGGACATCATCTCCCACCTGAACACCCATGACCCCAGATGTCTATGTCTTTTTGATATTTCATACTCTCGTCCTTGCAAGTCACAATGCTCAGAGGTTTCACATCATTTGAAAGCTTTAAAACTGTGCCTTGTACAGAAAGGTCTAACTCATTAAAATATATCAGGAAAACCAAGGGTCACAAGTACACCTCGAACCTTCCTCTGGCCCAGAAAAAAATCCATGAACCATCACTTGTTGTTTCCTATCACTCTGCCAAATCACCCTCCATGTTATTGCTGTCCCTTTTATACCAAGAACCATACCTTTGCTGACAATTCTGTTATGCTAGACTGCAGTAAATGAATCACAGGATCAAGGTTCTCTTGGTTCAATATTTGATACTACATTTATAGTTGATTTTTTTCATGAATTTGGGTCTTGATTTCATTGTGGCATTCCTTGCAGTGCCACTGACAATAAAAGGTTGATTGATTAAAGGAAATCTTACAAATTTTTCAGCAGAATTTGCACTGAATGTGAAGTTTACACTTACCTGTAATTCATCAATTTTCACCTTCTCCTTCTTTTCAACCATCTCAAGCTGTTTCTTCTTCTTCTCTTTCTCCTGTGCTTTGGCCTTGTCTTTACTCTTGGACTGTTTCGTGCCTTTCATAGGAGAGTCATCAATTTTGAGATCTGAATGAAGAGGAGGGAGGGTGGACACAAAACACTCAAACATGAATAGCATGAAAGTTGACACTTTGACCTTCGTTAGACTAGGGAGGAAACCACCAGAAAGGAAGATACATTCTAATATAAACTACTGATCGTAAAGGACAAACAGACCATAACAAAAACTTCTGACCTAAAGGGATAAATAGACTACAATGAAAGCTACCAATATTAAAAGGACAAACAAAGCATAATGAAAAACTATATCCTAAAATAACAAACAGACTATATTGAACCTTATGGCACACACGAAGAACAAACTAACTTCACAAGGAAACAATAAGCCTACGCAGAGGCTAGGAATCCTGCAGAGAACTTACAATCCAAATTCCTAAAGCATGCTCACCATCTTTAAGGCCTAAGTCTGCCGTATGATGGAGTACTCTCCACCTGCTTGGATGACAGCAGTTCCAGCAACACTTAGGAGGCTTGACATTATAATTGATACCCCATCCAGCAAATGAAACATTCGTTCCTTCCACCACTAACACACAATAGCAACAGCATGTCCCATCTACAAGGTGCACGACAGCAACTCTCCCAAGCTCCTTTAATAACAACTCCCAAATTAGCAACCTCCACCAACTAGAACAGGGGAATAGACACACCGGCAACTGCAAATTCCCTTCCAGATTACACACCATCTTGATTTGGAAAGAAATCATGCTTCTTCACTACTGTGGGGTCATAATCCTGGAGTTCTCTCTCTGATAACACTCTGGGTGAACAGATACCAGATATCCTGCAGCTGATCAAGAAGGAGGCCTAATATCAGCTTCCCAAGACAAATTCGGGATACGCCTTAAATCTCCTCACCAAATGACACATGTGTCTCATGCGTAAGTTTGTAAAAAAAAAAGTCCAGAAAGAGCCTTAAAAAATGAGCTAATCCTTTATTTTTTCTCAGGTCAAATTGTTGGAAAGTGGGCGACTTCAAAAATGAAATAATAAGAGTTCAGAGACAGTATGTTCCTGTTAGTTGTAGGGCCCTGGGAGTATTGCCAAACAAAGAGGCCTAGAGGTGCAGGTGCATAGTTTCTTGAAAGTGGAGTCAAAGGTAGACAGGGTGTGAAGAAGGCATTTGGTATGTTTGCCTTCACTGGTCAATGCATTGAGCATAGGAGTTGGATGTCATGTTGTAGCTGTACAGAACATTAATTAGGTCGCTATTGGAATACTGCACGCAATTCTGGTCTCCCTGCTATACGAAGGATGTTGTTAAACTTGAGCAGGTTCAGGAAATTTTACAAGGATGTTGCCAGGGTTGGAGGGTTTGAGCTAAAGGGCAAGGCTGAATATGCTGGGGCTATTTTCCCTAGAGTGTCGGAAGCTGAGGGGTGACCTTATAGAGGTTTTTAAAATCATGAGGGGCATGGTTAGGGTGAATAGCCAGGGTCTTTTTCCCAGGGTGGGGGGGGTGCAAAAGTAGAGGGCATAGGTTTAAGGTGAGAGGGGAAAGATTTAAAAGTGACCTGGAGAGGCAACCTTTTCACACAGAGGATGGTGCGTGTATGGAATGAGTTGCCAGACAAAGTGGTGGAGGCTGGTACAATTACATTTAAGAGGCATCTGGATGAGTGCAGGAAAAGGAAGGGTGTGGAGGGATATGGGTCAAACGCTGACAAATGGGAGTAGAACAGTTTAGGATATCTGGTTGACATGGTTGAGTTGGACCAAAGGGTCTGTTTCCATACTGTACACCTCTATGACTGTTTAACAAAATCTAATCACTTTTCACTAAGTTCTTTCACAGCTTCTTTGTGAGAGGGATCTCAAAAGAGAAACCTCATACAATGACAGTAAGAGTTGATCTAAACTCCTCTCTCTATACTTGGCCTCTTTCCTTTAGCCACAGCTTTAGCCTTACCAACAACTTTTCTTTATATGCTGTATTTTCGGAGAGGACTTTCCAGTCTTGTTAGTGCCAACTTTCATGATGGCTTAGTAATGAGATGAGTGACAGATTCTGTCATGATAAAAATGGTAGAGAATGGGCAAAACAAAACACTCCACAGGAAGCAGCAGTTTAGAGTTTTCAACAGTGCGTGAGAGAGACAAGCCCAGTTCAAAAACCTTGCTGATCAATCAAAAAAAAGTCACCACAGTGCACCCTTACTAAAATATCCTATAAGTCCTTCTGTTAAAAATCCCACTACATCCAAAGAAGATTCTTGTAGATGTTAGCACAATTTCAAAGACACGCAGGAAAACAAAACAAAACACATTCAATGGGATTTTTATTGTGTCTGATGCAAGACAATGTAAACTTATAGGATGTTGTAATAAGGGACAACAAAAACAAAGACATATATCAACATCATGGATACATTCATAGCTGTTACATACCTCAACTGTTAACACACTCCCAACCGTTAACACACTCTCACCCATCAACAGATCCCAACTGTTAACACATTCTCACCCATTGACATGTTCCCAGCCATTAGCGTGACCCAATCTGTTAACACACCCTGATCCATTAACAATTTCCTAACCCTTTAATACAAAGTAAAATACTGTGCAAAAATGCTGGGAAAGGCACCATGTGTGGACACAAATAGCATTAATAGGTTGAGGTCAAAGTGCTGAAACTCGATGATTTTCACTCGACCTAAAAGGGTAATTCCGTTTCCCTCAACAGATGCTGAACGGACTGCTAGGCTTTCTAGCATTTTTTGTTTATTCATCCCAGGCTTTAGTATTCTGTTCCCAACCCAAAGCACACACTTCATACTTTCCATGATCTCCACATATAACACTCTGCTCCCACCCCTTAACATTCTCCCAATGTTGATTTCCTGCAGTAACTCATACTTTCTACAGTGGGCTAACACGTATTTGTCTCACTCACACACACACACACACACACACATATGGGATAGCCAATTTGTAGCTAACAACTTTGTTCATTTTCCAAAAAGAGAGTGTAAATTTGTTCAGACCTAATTTACCCTCTGCTGCTATTTCCATGTCCTCCTTCTCCTCTGCCTCAGCTGCAGCTGCTTCCTGCTGTCGGATACGCTGAAACAGAATTTGCAAATCACACCCTGAGTTTGAAGAAATAAACTATTGAAAGCATTACAATTAAACTTCTCGTCTTCTTGACACTCAAATTCTACGATTGTATGGTGAAGGGAAGGCTGGAGTATGGATACTGACCCATCAGCTCCTTTAATTATGGAAATTAAAAAAAACGTCCTTTAAAACTGTACCCCTGTGAACTGGTCCTCAATCTCAGTCATCCTGCTATGGGGAAGCATAGAGAGAAGGTTCTTACAGGGATGGTTGACAGTGATAATGGGCTGGTTGAGAACACTGCTCTTAGCACCTGCTATGGGAGCAACCATCAAAAATAATACAGATAGTGTGGCCATCCACCTCTGGTCAACAATGATGAGACATGTGCAAACATAGTTATCAATTTTGACTACACTTCTAATGGCTCAACATTCTATCCAAATTTGAAACATTGAGACAGGGTCCTGTTACTTGATTCATTCTAGCCACAGTTATTATAAAGAAAGGGGAATTAATGCAGCCTTGCTCCAGTGGGAAGAGAGTGGAAATATTTAACCAAGAATCTATCTTTTAAGGTGCTACTTTAAGCAGAATGCAGAAAGAGGCTGTCTACCTGCATAATGGATGGACTCGAAGGTAGATCTTTACTGAGCCTTACTGTTAAGAATGTTATGTCTTTATGGTTAACAGCAGTTAGAAATAGTGAGTCTAAACTTGAAATGCAGGAGCTTTATCCCACAAACAACATTGGATCAATCATTAAATTTTACATTAGACATAGATAGGGTTTAGTTCTGTAAAAGTATTAGGGGAAATGGACCTAAGGCAGGTATATGGAGTTGATCTAAAGATCAGCCATGCTTTTACTGAATGCAGGAACAGGTTTGAGGGGCTCCCTATGAATATATTGCTTTCAGTTCTCATTGTGACTGTTGAATTGTTACCCAGCATGTGATTGCAGTGCAGCAATCTACTTGTATAATAATTAATCCCTCACTGTTTATGAATGCTACAAAAATTAAAAGTTACCAGACCATAGGGCTGCTCTCTCATTAGAGAGAGATGGCTGGTGATGAGTTTAACCTGAGGGTCAACCATGCATCAGGCGAGGGGAGAGGTTGAGGAGGAGAGCCCTTTATAATAACCTCAGCCAGTGTAGGAATTAAACTCACACTGTTATCAATCTGCATCACAAACCAGCCATCCAGCCAACTGAGCTAACTAAACCTTATGAAAACACAATATAAACATAGACAGTGCATAATTTTCTCAAACCTTTGGCTATGCACTACTGTATTGTCATGAGTACTGAAGATCCAGTGTTAAACATGCCTCAGGATGTTTTGCTTTACTGACACATGAATGAATTCTATAATTTTCTCTTCTCATCAGTCCTGTAAGTTGGTGTATACCTCCATGAGTGTCTCGATGGAGGCGAAATATTTCGACCACCAGTCCAGCATGCTTTCATCGGGCTCCTCCTCTTCGATTTCCTCTCCCTTCTTTTTTTTCTTCTTTTTCGATTTCTCATCCTCGTTCTGGAGACAAGGAACACATACACAGAGAGAGACAGGTCACTAGCAGTTGGACCAATGCAAGTTCTCTGGTGTTCAGTGTCCATTCTTGATGCGGTTATAATGACCTTATGACAGGGACATAAATCTTTCTTTAATCTTTTTGGCTGTAATTTTGTTTGCAACATGAAAGTAAAGTTCGTAATGCCATTCTAATCACTGAAGTATTTAGGAACATGGAACAGGAATAGGTCATTCAACCCATTGAGCTTGTTCTACCATTTAATACCATCATAGCTGAACAAATACTTCAATGTCTTTCATCCACCCAACCTCCGCGACTCTGTACAACACTGTTAATCCAAAATCTTTCAATCTCTACCTTAAATGTACTCAATGTCTGAGTCTCCACAGCACTCTGTGGCAACAAGTTCCAAAGGGTCACCTTGGATCCAAATAGCATCCCCTTTATCGTGCCCCTAGTTCTAGACTCCCAAACCAGAGAAAACATTTTACCTGCATCTACCCTGTCTATATCTTACAGTAATTTGTAACTTTCAATGAGCTAATCTCTCATTCTTTGAAATGCTGAAGAATACAGGCCCAGTTTGCCTAATCTGTCTTTATAGGACAGTCCCACCTTCCCAGACAAGTCTGGTGAGAGTCTTCATTGAACTCCCTCTACGACAATAATATCTTTCCTGAGATAAGGAGACCAAAACTGCAGACAGTAGAGTCATCAAGTCACACAGCATGGAAACAGACCTTTTGGTCCAACTTGTCCATGCCGACCAAGTTTCCCAAACTGAATTAGTCCCATTTGCCTGCATTTGGCCCATATCCCCCTCAACCTTTCCTATTCATGTACCTGCCCAAACGTCTTTTAAATATTGTAACTGGACTTGCATCTAACACTTGCTCTGGCAGTTATACACGAACCACCCCCTGTGTGAAAAATATGCAGGTTTAGCCCAACCAAGCTCCTATATAATTGATACAAGATCTCCCTACTTCATACCCAAATTCTCATTTTGTAGAAAATAAAATCTGCCTTGGAAAAGATTGAGAAACTGGTTAAATCCTGGTGATTTGACATCAGTTATTTTCATACATTTCTAAATTCAATTTTAAATTAAATTGATCATTCAAAAACAAATCACCAGAATTTTCCAGCCCACCTCCTGTCTAGTTCTTTGCCTTATTTGTGCTTTATTTGGGGCAGGAGAGGATTTTTTTTTTCTCCTCTGCTCAACTATATCACTGTTATTTTCCTGTTGCTCGGTCAAAATCCTGGAACTGCCTTCCTCACAGAACAGTGGGTGTCCCTACAGCCCCAGGACTGCAGTGGTTCAAGAAGGCAGCTCACCATCACCTTCTCAAGGACAACTAGCAATGGATAATAAGTGCTGGCCCAGCCAGCAGTGCCTACATCTCATGAACAAATTAAGAATGATTGTTAATGTGCTTCAGATCCTAATTAAAGTAAACATTTAATATTACTATTTAATACCTTTCAGTTCCACGATGTTTCAATGTACATGTTCAACAACATCAGTCCTGAGTATGAATGGCAGATCCTCACTGTGTGGACTTGTGGGATTTTGTAGAGAGCCCTGACTCTATACTCACGTACAGCGTACACATTTCTACATCCCTTTATACTTGGGAAATCTTCAGAATAAGGCACTTTCTGTACGTAATTTTTAAGAGACGTGGAGACATGGAGACTTATAGGAAGTTAGATAATGTTCTCATAGCAGTTTGAGACTAGAATTTAAAAAAAAGCTAATAATTGATCCTAGTCATTGAATTTCTCTGGAAATATTCAAAGCGTACTGTTTGGAGTGCTAGCTGTCTCTGTTGTAGTTTACATGTTGCTCCATAAGCTATTGCCAGTGACTAATACAGAAATTATTCATTTTGTTAGCAACCACTGCACTGCACCCCGCTATTTGAGAGACATGGCCAATTTACTAATAATGTTGGCAGCCTGTCACTACCAGCGAAGGACTACTCCAAGGTCTAATATTGTCAAAATGTTCAGGACCTGATTCTTCTATTTCTGTTTTACTTCTCCAGCCATCAGTGTTATAGCTTCCTCTGGAGGCAGTTACCAGGTACTGCATTATGACAGGCAGGAAATTTGTGACATAGCTGCATGACTCAGTGTGCTACCCAGAGTCTCACTAACTCCCCTGGCACAGGTAAGTTGCTGGACATTCTTCAATGGTAGCAGGATTAGAGGCAATATGATTCGAACACATTTCTTCCAAATATATTCTACATGTGCATTAGAATCAGAGCATTGCACTACTTCTTTTTGGGCTGGCCAACCACACCTTGTTGCCCTCAGAAGATAGACAGTCCTTGTCTCAGATCCCAGGGGCAGACATCCTGCCTTGGGAGACCTGCCCATCATTCCGAGGCCAACAGCTCCAGATGAATGGCCACACACACTACAGAGACATGTCAGTGTGACGCCCAGGCAAGGTGCAGTATCATCGCTGGATTCCATGCCAGAGATCAATGGTGGTGGAAGGGGCTGATAGGGTGGGGTCATGAGGTGGTCACTGCCAAGGGTGGGAGAGGAATTGGCTTTCAGCAGCTGGGTCTCAATCAGACAGTGCATTTCAATTAAGATTTATTTGTTCCCCGTGCACGCTGAGTTCCCATTCGTCACTGACTTAATAAGAGGGGATAAAGTCACGATGCAGGTATTAACAGACCACAGTTGGCAGTGGTGTAGGAAGGTCATCCACAGGATTCAGTAGGAAAGGAGATGGCGAGTTGGCAGGATCTCCACCTGATTAAATACCTCTCTCTTCTTCAACCACCAACACTACCTGTGAGGCAGGGTACAAGATTCTGCTCAGTGTCTGACTTACGATCTGTTAAAGTAATAGTTCATATTTGCCCAAATGTCATCAAAGACTATCCTAGTTTAGCTTTCCAATATATAAATATAATAACTGCAATAAGGATTAGGGCCAGGATAGCACCAAGATTGAGATCATTAAAGAGAGGAGAGAGATGAAGTGAAGAATAATATTTGGTGATGTCTAGCTTGGTTTTTGATGGTTTGAGGATTGTAAGGAAGAAGGGAAAAACAACATGCTGAAAAATCATTCATTCAAAATCCTGGAAAAGAGTGAATTAGAGCAGAAGACTAAGAAATCAATCTTAATTTTATTCACTGCGGGTGATGAGAAGAAGAAAGGGAAGGGACAAAAGAGGAAAGCTCAGAGTAAAAAATGAGTGCTTACAAAACAATGATCAATAAAACAGATTGCATGCAGTGAGGAGAAGAGCTTGGTTTTACATTACAAACTAGGTTCTGCATCTGTTCTAGAAGTGTTTAAAAGATGGGAGCATCATCTTCCCAGCTGATATTCATGTCATAGACAGACTTGTGGACAGTTAACTCTTAATGGGAAAAGACTGCTTCCTTATCAGAATCCCTTTACAGTGCCCTGCCATTTGATAGTTTATATTCCGACTTACCGCATCAACCTTAACAACAGCATCGGAGTTCTGTCATCAAGTGGAAAAAAAAACACAAATGAGATGATATCAGCATCACAAAACTAATAACATAAAGATCATGAAACACTGCCTCCATCTCTATCAGAAATGGAACAAGAGAATATTAAAGAAACACAAATCATGTGGACAATAAAAGTTTTGTATGTTTGGAAAACAAGAGCTTCACAAAAAGATGCTAAAATAAATTAAAACGAGAAAAAAAAACATACAAACATACTTATTAATATCACCTTTTGGTGGGGCTTGGCTGTCTAAAACCCAATGAATCCATTTGCTGACAACGCTATTAAATGAAGTTCTCCTATTTCACTGCTGTCCCATGAATAGCACTGTATCGAACTTCACACCAAATTGACATTACCAGTAGTGAAGTCTGACAGCAAGGTGCTGAGCTCCACCATGTGGGATGAAGGATGTCATGTACTGACATGTCTCACTTCACCTCATTTTCCTAATGTTCATGTACAGTACAAACACATCACTGACCAGGAAAATATCAATCTCATCCATTAAAGTGATAATTAGCATGCTTTCTACTTCTCCTGCTCTGCCAATGCCATTGAGTTGATATACAGGAATTTCTGCGATTTCTGTTTGATATCGCCAGTCGAGCAGATTTTGGGATTGTGCACACAGGACCATGATTGAATCCTGCATGGCTGTTCACCCACTTTAGTACTGAACTAAGGCAGTAACTGTGTCTGTTAAGGTTGGTGCCCTCATTCACATCTGGCATATTGCACAAGCCACTGAATTCAACAGCAACAATGTTTTTACTTGTTTTGCTTCTTTACTCTGGCACGCATCAACTAATTCTGAAAGCTCTGAAGTTAAGAAATGCCTGTCCTGTCAGCATCAATACCACAGGACACAAATGGGCTTAGTCTGCGTGTAAAGTGAGAGCAACCCACTTGGTAAGACTGCACATACAAACAGATTCTGACTATTTTCCTAAGCTGATGTTTACACAGTTGTGGAGGTGCCGGTGTTGGACTGGAGTGGACAAAGTCAGAAATCACACGACACCAGGTTATGGCCCAACAGGTTTGTTTGAAATCACAAGCTTTCTGAGAACTGCTCCTTCTTCAGGTGAAGTCACTTCGAAGCAGTGCTCCAAAAGCTTGTGATTTCAAATAAACCTGTTGGACTGTAACCTGATGTCGTGTGATTTCTGACTTTTACACAAGTTGGAACACAATACAGTACAATATAAAATAGCTGTTCGTAAGTACATGCGAACATTCGCATGTTGCAGCTTTAAATGTAATATTAATGTGGGCTTTCATTCAGAAGTACGAGTGTTTATAAGACTGATATTTGTAAATTGGAGACTGCCTGTAAATGTAAGTGCAACAGTCACAGGTTAGAGAGTTCCCAACCAATAAAGGCAGCTGCAATGATCTATGAAAAGCCCAGAGACAGTTCCTGTTCCTGCTGATTCACAGCAATGGCTGAAACAGTTTCCTAACTTATGGAGCTGTCAACTCCTATCTCCATTTCACAGCCCCCTGGAATTGCACACAACAGCAGGAACCTTTACATTTCGGTTTCAATTGCACTGTAGGAGCCTGATTTAAATATGTTCAAAGTTGTCCTGAGTCTCCACCGTGATATGCTCAGATGCCCCACTCTCCACAACTACAGCACATTCCATTCATTTTGCTTTTGAATCTCCACAAGCCCTCCCCTTGCTTGTTGTGGTCAGTTTACACTGAGATCATACTCACGGCATCCAGCTTGACAACAGTCTCCATTTTCTTCACTGGGACCTCTGTTTCCATGTTAATGTTGATATCTCCTGCAGGGTGAAAGAGCGGACCTCCATTTGCCAATACCTGGTATCCATGCATTAGTTTCGCTGAACAGAAACCAGGGGAAATCCCGAAGACAGGGACAGACAGAAAAAGACAAGGACAGAAGAGAGGAAAACATGAGAATATGGGCGGAAATGACATAAGAGATTACAGATGAGGCAAAAGTAAACAGCAAACAGCATGTGGGGAAAGGTTACATCCCATTGACTGGTGATAAAATACATGCCACCCAGACAGGATGAAGTTTTATTGGTTACAGTTTGATAGACATTGAATTCATTCTTAGAATCCCTACAGTGTGGCAACAGGCCATTCGGCCCAACAAGTCCACACACTGACTCTCCAAAGGGCATCCCATCCAGACCTATTCCTCTAAACTCTCCCTGTAACCCTCCATTTCCCATGACTAATCTACCAAACCTATACATCCCTGGACACTATGGACAATTTAGCACAGCCAATCCACCCTAACCTGCACATTTTTGGATTGCAGGGGGAAACCGGAGCACCTGGAGGAAACCCATGCAGGCACGGGGAGAATGTGCAAACTCCACACAGACAGTCACCCGAGGGTGGAATTGAACCTGGGATGCCAGTGCTGTGAGGTGACAGTGCTAACCACTGAGTCACCATCATTTAGCTCTTTCACAGCTTTGTTTCCCTTTCAGAAGTGGATGCCTTTTTTCTGTGCCGTTGAGCAGATGGTGGAGCTTCAAACTCAGAGATGCAGAATCAGAAGAACTCTTCAGTAGAGGAGCCAGCTAACAGGGCATTGCTCACTCTTACCTACTGCCTGTCCCTAGTCCAGGCAAGGTTCCTAAATTTCCTTGTGTCTTTACGTGTGTACATTTCAGTACATGCTAAACAGCGTAATAGCCTTACACAGCTTTTCATACTTCAGTCCACTATGAACAAGGACAGCTGTTCTTTTTCGAATATTTAAGTGATCAGAATAGTTAAAACAGCATAAAAGCCTTGAACAAGTCTAATGTTTTCTTTCAGTAGAGTCCCTAATGGGTAAACTTCTATTGAAAGTTGTGTTGGTTCTGATGTAGATACCTTGGCGACCAGTTTCAGCAGTGAGTGTCAAGGGAGACTGATTCCTGGTGGCACTGTTGAAGAGTGGCCAGCTATTTGACTGGCAGCTCCTGGATGGGAGCCTTCCACAACCTGAGACAATTTACAAGAAGATAGCCGGGGAGGTGACAGTATTATTGCTGGAATGTTAATCCAGAGACCCAGGTAATGTTCTGGGGACCTCGGTTCGAATCCTACCATGGCAGATTGTGGAATTTGAATTCAATGAAAATCTGGACTTAGTGGTCTAATGATGATCATGAATCCAATTTTTGGAAAAATCCATCTGATTCATGAATATCCTTTAGGGAAGGAAACTGCCATCCTTACCTAGTCTGGCCTACATGTGACTCCAGACCCACAGTAATGTGGTTGACTCTTAACTGCCCTCTGGGCTATTAGGGATGGGCAATAAATGCTGGCCTAGTCATTGATGCTCTCATTCCACGAATGAATTAGAAAAAAACCCAGGCTTCGCAGGTGTGCGGAATCACACTCATCTGAGAGTTCTTATCCAAAGATGTGAGGCTACCACCTCTGCATAAAAATCTGGCCCACGATCTTTTATATGATTTCCCAATGTAAAATAAAATAAGCGTATACTTAGCAAGCTCTGTGCAGAAACTGTTAATGTGACTTTCTAAAAACTGTACTTCAGTATAATTTTCTTTCAAAGGTGATTATTGTATTTACTTTACCTATCCAAGTTTATTTTCATCTGGATAGGATTAGGTAGAGAAAGGCACATTTGGCTACACTGGGACAGAATGCTCACTAAAAGCACTGATTCCATTGGAATTAAACAGCAAAAAATGAAAATGTTTTGCATCTGAAATAAAGCAGAAAATGCTGGAAATATATAGCAGGTGTGCCAAAAGTTAAAGGAAAAATTACAGGATATTGTGTCTTTTGCAATGCTGATGAATTTTCAGTATCTTCTGCTTTATCTGTTGATCTAAGAACAACCCACAGTCCATTTATTGTAACTTGTAATGATCTTCTAAGGAATCAGCAGTTGCCTCAACTTTATTTAGTGACAATATGTTATAGAAACAGCATAGTTTCTCAAGCACCAAGCCCCTTGTCTGGGTAGTATGGTTGCAGAGATCATTGTTTTTTAAGAAAAGGCTTTTATCCAGTCAAGCTTCCCCACAAAAGGGAAGAATAACAGATGATATCCCAAGACCTGCTCACAGACGCTGATCCTGACTTTGTATGAATGAAGAGTCAAGCATGATGGTAGCCTTGGAGCATGCAGGGGAACCTGAAAAAGCAGTTGCATGATTGGCCAGAGCATGAGGGCTGTAATCACCATCTCCCTGCCCTGAGTTACACATCGAGAATTTGTCTTGTCTAGTTTCTTCCCAGGGGAGAAGAGAATTGGTGTATAAATCGGGTGAGTTAGGGTTTCAATGAGATGCAAATTGTTGAAAATTAGACAGTCACCACTCAATGGTAAGATTTTAAATTTGCCGTTTAAAGTCTGAGGGGCAAATTGGAAATATCTTTCTCTGTTGTGAATCATAGTTTTTCATTCTCATCATATTTCCCCACCTTTCTCACACCACACCGAGGGAAAATTTCTGCCCCTAAAAAGAGAGAGAGGGAGAGAATATTGAGGTAGAAATTCGCCTTCCTTTGGTCACTGGCAAAGGGCAATGAATGACTGTGCAAAGGTATGGCCTGAGGGCTGTTTGAAATGGGATCTTGGACTTTAGCTTTAAGAACTGGGTGAGCTGCACTGTGACCCCTGATTGGGGCTTTAGGAATCTGGCCAGTGCTGACCATAGTCAACTCCTGGAAGGAACTGTCATCAGGCAAAGTGGAAGGAAGGAGAGGTCTAGTCTGGGCTGGCAGGAGGAATTGTTTCATCCTTTTGTTTGCAATTTCTAGTGGCCCCTTTGAGGTGTGGCCGCTGGAGGCCTGGGTTCAAAATATCTGACACCTATTTGAGGCCAGTGCCCTGTAGACTTAGAATGCTGAGCTCTGAAAGCTTGTGTTTTCAAATAAACCTGTTGGACTATGACCTGGGGTCATGTGATTTTTGACCTGGAATGTTCAGGAAAGAGTTCTTTAAAAGACTGTCATCTGGAATTTCCCCCCCAACATTAGTTTCTCACCAAAAACAAAATGGTGAATGTTATTGAATTTCTGTCTCATTGAGCCCTGTTCTGTTCTTATCTTCTTATATACTCTGTCTGAGCTACAGTATTTACCACAAATTCCAAAGCTGCCACATATATACATACATCACCTATCTAGGAAGAATATTTTATCCCAGTTCATTCTTGTTCAATTATTTCTCACGCGGATCGCAAGTTAGGTTCAGTGTTTGTGTTTCCCCAGTCACGCTCCTCAAGAAAGGAAACGGGGATTGTAATTTTTTGCCCCACTTCTGTCTGACCACTTAGTAACAAATGCAAAGCATCATATTTTCAGGCCACAGTATGAACTGATGGCCTCTTCAGCCCAACCCTTGAGGAACGTATTCAGATTGTCATTGAATTTCACTCAATTACAAGTTTCACTGCAAATCTCCGTTAACAAAGATTCCTGATCCGATGGGCAGGGTAGATTTGTAGACTACTGTTTCCCTGAATACAGAGCTCAACTCCTTCAGTGAGCTCTCTGTAATCCACATTTAAATGTTTGTGGTAATCTCCCAGTGGGGGTATGTCCATAATGGGCAAGAAAGAAAAATTACTGGAACACTTGCTCTTGTGTAACATGCTGTGGTGAAAAAAAGTAAGATCTCCTTCACTGTCACAGCAAGTTTGGTCACTCAGAATACCTTGTGTTGCTGTGGCACTCCTGTCACATTTCTATTTCAATTTACCTGGGAATAGAAAATACTATCCACAATGACTGAAGCTGTTTCATAGTTTAACTCCAGAGGCTCATATCTGTTATACTGAGAAACTGGAGGAGGACTATATGAAACAATATTGGTGATTAGAGGATTTCCATTCTGTCCTCTTATGCTACACAAATAAATAATTAAACAGATATGATTATGGCTTTTTACATTATAAATTTGAGGTTTTGGAAATCTCTGACAGTTGCTGTATATGTGAGACATATACCAGTTGTTTATATTGAAGGCAATCTCATACCTGGGCCAGTTGGCATGTATATGAAGAAAGCAATAAAGTAAGATAGAAATATATTGATGAGGAACCGTCGAAAGTAGAGTGGAAAACTGTTAACATCACACCTGATTGTTTTTCAGTGGCTCCTGCTTTGTCCAATTTGCAATGAACACATTAGTTTCTTTAACCTTGTTAAGTGTTTAAGTTTTCCAGGAAGAATTGAAGGTTGTCACAATTAACATCTCTTATTACACTTACTTATAGTCTGATTTATATTTAAACTAGTGTTAAAAATCAAAAATCAGACCTTTAATTTCTGTATGAAACTCATACCATATAGGTAGGACTTTTGTACATTAAGTTAGAATTGTTTAAAGGGTCTGTGGATAAGAAGACCAGTGAATTTTTATAAATAGAAAAATAGCCAATTGTTCACCCAAATTTAGGAATTCTACACAAAGGAGACAAAATCCAAGTTATGGCTAAAGCAGCTACAAGTTTTACCTTCAAAAATAAATACATGACATCAAGAAATGAAACCCTCTCAGAGAAATGTACTACAAGTTAACATAGGATACATATATATACACACATATAAAAATATATAAACTAAAAATAATTACAGTTACACAAAATAGAAGGCAGATTGAATACAAAATATTTAGCAATAACAGTTAAAGTAAAATTAGGCAGCTTGTTAAATTCTTCTGATATGTTAATTTTGCTGCTTAAATGGGAAAAGATAAAGTCATAGAGTTATACAGCACAGAAACAGACGCTTTGATCCAAACAGTCTATGCTGACATTTTCCCAAACTAAACCAGTCCTGCCTGGTTGGCCCATATCCCTCCAAAACTTTCCTATTCATGAACTTATCTGAAAGTCTTTTAAACATTCTAACTGTACCTCCATTCACCACTTCTGGAAGTTCATTCCACACAAGAACCACTCTATGTGTAAAAAAGTTGCACCTTATATCCTTTTTAAATCTTTCTCCTCTCACCTTAAAATTATGCTCCCTAGTTATGAACTCTCTCACTCTAGGGAAAAGATCCTGTTATTCATCTTCTCTATGCCCCTCATGATTTTATAAGCCTCAATAAGCTCATCCCTCAACCTCCTAATGCTCCAGTAAAAAAAGTCCCAATCTTTTGAGCCTATTTTCATAATCAAACACTCCATTCCAGGGACATCCTGGTAAATCTTTCTGAAACTCTGTAAACCAGGGTGACCAGAACTGCACACAGTACTCCAGAAGAGGCCTCATCAACGTCTTGTACATCCTTAACATGACGTCACGACTCCTATTCTCAAAAGGCCTGAATTTATAAATTTATAATTATAAATTTAAATAAATTTATCAAGGAATTAATAAATCAAGTAAAATAGAAAAGGACTTGTCCATGTCTACTCAGGATGAATGACTTGGAGTGGACGACTTAACCTAGACTTAGATAAACAGTCTGGAAAATTTCCACTGTCTCCCACATTTCAACATGAGATGAGTATCTCCTCTTCATGGAGATGGTCTTCCATTTCCTACACCAGTTTACTTTTATTTAGACGACTGGGTTAACAAAGCAATCCAACCAGAGGCAAACACAATGAGGAAGATGCATTCCAAAGGTGGGTTTGCAAAGTTGCAAGGAATGACTTATAGGAATTATAATTACTTTTCTGTTACGACAGAACATGAGTTTGAGATAAAAAGACATGCTTCAGCTTGCACTCATTTAGCAAGAACAATTTAGCAAGAAAGACAAAAGTAACATGAACTAATTTCATATGTAAGAGAATACCAAATGGTTGGTAAACAGGCTCTGATTAATAGAGGTGTTGCTGCAGTAAATGCACCAGTTAATGATCACTGACATTTAACTGTCAACTTTTGTTTACATTTTAAACGAGGTAAACTGACTCTGATTGGTCAAGGCATTACCCTGATCAATGAAATGAAATCACTCTGAGACAGCCTACCTGGTTTAAAATCTAGTTCAGTAAAGCTAGTTTAGAGAGTGATGTTAACTGTTTATATATTAAATACACACCAGGGACATATTTCTAGGAGATGACTCTAGGAAAAAGTGAACAAACAGATGAGAGCTATCAGAAAGTTAAAGGCTAGATAAGGTACAATAAAAGTTACTCCATGTTTGAGAAAAGTCTTGTGTTTTAGCGTACCTGCATTCACCCAGTTCTGAATTTTGTTATCTGGTGGTCGGTAGATGAACTTTCTCAAGGAACCAACAGCATGTGAGCCAACCAGAGTGTACCTGCCGAACGCACGGCAGTCTACCACACGAATATTAAGAGGAGGGTGAAGAAGTTCATTTTCTGGCAGATCCTATTAATAACATGACAGAAAAAAGCGTTAAGAGGAAGAATATGTTTGCCACATCAGAGAATAAAATTAGCTTAACAGGTCTGGCAGCATCTGTGGAGAAAAAAACAGAGTTAACATTTTGGGTCCAGTGACCCTTCAGAACTCAGTCTGTCGATTCTGTTTTCTCTCCACAGATGCTGCCTGACCTGCTGAGTTTTTGCAGCGATTTCTGTTTACATTTCTCATTTCCAGCATCCGTAGTTCTTCATTGTGTTTTTAATTACGATAATTTATCAGACTGTAACACATTTGTGCAGTCATTACGGTCCTTACATCACAATGTTACACTGACATTTGGCTTGATTACTGAGTGATTCACCTCATCTCTATAGCAATTTCCTTGGAAAGAACTGTTAACGTCCACATGTAGCCATTACCACTAATCAATTGTTAGAACTGCTCCCAAGGAAAAATTATGAGAGACAGGAGTGGATGAGGATTGAAGTGAGAATATTCTTGGTATGAGCTGGTATGAAATTCTCTGTACTTTTCTGCATCACAACCAAACAATACTTAGACCAGAAGATGCAGAACAAAGAATAGTGCAGCACAGGAACGGGCCCTTCGGCTCATGATGTTGTGCTGAACTTGACGCCAAATTATACTAATCCCTTCTGCCTGCCATTGGTCCATATCCCTCCATTCCTTGCATATTCATGTGCTTATCTAAATGCCCTGTTGTATCTGCCTCCACCACCATCCCTGGCAGTGCGTTCAAGACTCCTACCACACTTTGTGTAAAAAAACTTGCCCCTCACATCTCCTTTGAACTTTCCCCCTCTAACCTTAAATGCGTGCCCCCTAGTATCAGACATTTCAACTCTGGGAAAAAGGTTCTGACCGTCAACACTATCTATGAATCTCATAATTTTATAGACCTCTCCCCTCAGCCTCCGCCGCTCCAGAGAAAACAACCTGAGTTTTTCTAGCCTCTCCTTACAGCTCATACCCTCTAATCCAGGCTGCATCTTGGTAAACCTCTTCTGCACCCTCTTCAAAGTCTCTACATCCTTCCTGGAATGTGGTGACCAGAACTGAACACAATAACGTAGGAACAGGAATAGACCATACAGCCCATCCAGTCTGCTCTACCATTCAATGAGATCATGGCTGATGTGATAACCCTTAACTCCACTTTCTTCCCTTTTCCTTTAGCTCTCGATTCCCTTACTGATTAAAAATCTGCAAATGTCAGCCTTGAATATACTTAACGATTTAGCTCTAACAGCCCTCTGCAGTAAAGTATTCCACAGATTCATTGCTCTCTGAGACAAGAAATTCCTCCTTATGGCTGTCTTAATTGTGCACAACCTCATTCTGTGCTTATGCCTTCTAGTCCTAGTCTTTCCCACAAGGGGAAACATCTTTCCACATCTACCCTGTCAGTCTCCGAAGAACCTCTATGTTTCAATCAGGTTGCCTTTCATTTTTTAAAATTCCAACGAGTACAGGCCCAACCGAATCAATTTCTCCTCATAAGACAGTTTCTCCATATCAAGTATCACCCCACTGCCTCCAATGCCAGTATATATTTCTTTAGATAAGGGGTCCAAAATTACTTATTGCATTCCAGCTATGGCCTGACGAGTGCCTAGTCTAGGTTTAGCAGAACCTTCCCGTAGTGATTGTAATGAGGTCAGCCAGGTGGATCTTACAGAATGTTCCCTGATTGGGGGGTGCTAATCTGGTCCAATTAGACAGCCCTGGATGATAGATAAGAACAGGAGTGTTGGACATCCTGTTCACTCTGAGAGCGGGCTCTGAGGGAGCTAGGGCAGATGAAAAGCAATGAGTAATTCTGCTGACAGTTTATGAACCTGTAGCTTTTTTGGTTATTAGAAGCCTCACTTTTCCTGAGGCACCAGATAATAAAACCTTTCTGGAGTTGGCGGATTTAGTTCAGGAATATTACAACCCCAAGCCTCCTCTAATTCTCAGAAGCTATTGATTTTTATTCAGCAATTTGAGAACCAGGGGAATGTGTCTTAGGATTTTTGATTAGGTTAAGATGACAGGCAGAGGGATGTGACTTTGGTTTAACCCCTAATGAGATGCTGAGAGGCTGCTTGAAATGTGGAATTAATAATGTGACCATACAAAAGCACCTACTAGCTGAAGCCCAACTGGACTTCAAACAGACACTACAACTGGCTTTATCATTGAAAAACATGGCAAGTGGATCATATGAGTTGCTACTAGTCTCTCGTACTAGTGGAAAAATATCTTCTCCATATCCACTCTAACCAGGCTACTTAGTATTGTGTAAATTTCAAAGATTGCAAACAAGGTGATGAAGGACAACTTCAATCATTAAGCTTGTTGTTTCAAGTTCAAAATATGAAGACTAAACTATGAATAACCACAGTCCGTGATTACCTTGTCCAAGTTAAATCTTTGAAACAAGAAAAAGTGATGAAGGCAGAAAATGGAACACCTGATACACAACCCACTCAGTTTTATGTAAATCATTGATACTCAAGGTAGTCAGTTCTCACCACTTCAAAATACTTGACCAAAATACTGAAATTTGGATTTTTCTTGTAGTTCTGAATGACTGCAGATTGAACACCTTTCCCAGCGCATTCAATATCAACTCTCGGCCGGTCAACCTGTGCTAGATTCACGCGCTTCAGATCCCTCAGACCCCAAAAGAGAATCTGTAAAGAATAAACAGAAAGGAATGATTTTGTGATCTTCTGTATCAAGACAATTGGGTAAGTAAGTAGACATTATGTTGTCCTTTAGCTCTGGATCAGAGCTTCTGCTGTCTTGAATTAAGACTCTGTTTGATATATTGTAATAATCAGATTTCAGACTTCTGTTTAAATCATGTGTGAGCTCTTCATTCAATCCAAGTGGGAAGTCATATCTACTCTTCAACATTTGTTGAACATAGTGAAGAACAAAAATGAAGTATTACTTCCATTGCCTGAAATAATTTGAAGCTTATTTCCATTCCTACAGAGATTAGATAAACTACGCTGTTTATAAAACAAAAACAAAGTGCTCGGGAATCTCAGCAGGTCTGGCAGCATCTACGGAGACAGAGTTAATGTTTCGAGTCCCAATTTAAATTTTCTTCAGAACTGCTTCCAATGAGGAAGCATCCTCTTTGTATCTCCCCTGTGAAGGTTCCTCAGGATTTAATATGTTTCAATCAAATCATTTCTAATTTCCAGCTATACAAGTCTAGCATGTCCAACCTGATCTCATAAGACAACCCTCTCATTTCAGATATTAGGCTAGTAAACCTTTTCTGATTGGCCTTCAAAGCATTTACATCCTTGCTTCATATCTGCTTGGTGTGTTTCTCAGACAGACTATCTGGTGTTGGGGCCTTAATTATGGAACAGACTCACGTCCTACGACACAGTACCTCAAAATTCCAAGGTGTCAAGTTATTGGATGGAGTCACCTTTTAACCATTTACCCACGGCCCTCCCCAGTGCCTCACCCCCAAAACCACTGACTAAATCTGTCAGAAAGATCATTTCCCTTAGTCTAGCATTTGTACTGAAAGCTGCCAGGTTGTGATCCACTGTCCAAGCTGCACATTAAAATCCTTTAGGAAGACCTTAACCAAGTTTGCCTACCATATGGTTGATTCCTTGCGTGTGATCAGGTCAAACAGTGATGACTGTAAACACACAAATGTAAACCCTGTGATTTTCCATGTATTAGTTCTGTGCCTGTTATTGTGATGAGGCTGTCAGCACCTACTGCCATTTTTGTTAAACAGAAATCTCTGGCTTCTGCAAATGCACAGTTAAACACTGAAATCCTCAGGTTACTGTCAGTGATACCCTATTCCTCAACAGGATGAACTGTTATAACCCCTGCACGTGTAATCAATCCAGAATTAGTGACCTGTTATGAACAGAAACATTATCTTTGTAAGATCCAATGGAAATGTTAAGCCAAGCTTGAACAGGTAAAACTCATTTTTAACAGTGTACTAACTCATTGTCGCATTCTGCTCCTGAAAAATTGATTTACACAAATGTGGAATTTCATTCCATTCGATGCTCATTTGAATATTTCTTGTGTTTTAAAAATCAATTACTGCTTCCTGCTAATCAGAAGCTGATAATGTCGCCATCACTGGGTACTGGCATTGCACTCGAACCACAACTGGAAGCTGTGTGATTGTTATTCCTCTTGCTATCCCAGTTCTGCTCTCTTCTGCACCCATCCTCCTCTCTCCTTATCACTGTTCTCCTCTTGCCACCCCATTCTCACTCCACTTGCCACCCTAGTTCCCTTGCTGCCTTCTAATCCACACCCTTGGTGCTTCACTTGCTATTCCTCGCTGGCTTTGCTATGTGGATGTTGCAAGGTATGTCCCAAATGATCCTTAATCTCAAATGTATGCCCCAATCTTTATGCTATTTTCAGTACTATAATTAAACTGTGGTGAATTATTACTGCTTTTTCCGGCTCTCCAGACTATGAAGGTTCTTCAGTTTGATTGGCTGATCAGGCTGCCTGCACTGTTGCCAAATTCTGTGACATTTCAAACGAAGAAGCCCACATTCAGGAGTTCCCTAAATCCTCGCAAAAAGCTTTTATAGAGGTCGGTCAGGTGTGTTGCTTTGTGTGTGCATCCTTCCTACAGCAGGGAGACCAGGTTGCATGCTATACTCCATTGATTTGTTTCTGACCATACAGTCCAGGCCAGTGTACTGTTTGGAGTGTGACAAAAGGATTACCCACCTCAATCCTGTACCTGCTCAGCACAGGCCGGATCCCCTTCGGAACAGGGAGAATTGGACCACGGTCAGAGTCTGTTGGACCATCAATTGGTGGCAGATTGTGTTTTCCCGAGGGAGGAATCTACATTGAAAGAATAAAATTGTGTGTAAGTAATTTTCAAGGGAAACGTAGAGTCACAGAGATGTACAGAATGGAAACAGGCCCTTCAGTCCAACTCGTCCATGCCGAGCAGGTATCCTATATAAATCTAGTCCCATTTGCCAGCGTTTGGCCCGTATCCCTCTAAACCCTTCCTATTCATATACCCATCCAAATGCCCTTTAAATGTTGTAATTGTACCAGCCTCCACCACTTCCTCTGGCAGCTCATTTCATTCATGCACCACCCTCTGTGTGAACAAGTTACCCCTTAGGTCCCTTTTAAATCCTTCCCCTCTCACCTTAAACCTATGCTCTCTCGTTTTGAACTCCCCCCTCACCCCTCAGCCTCCGACACTCCTGAGAAATAGCCCCAGTCTATTCAGCCTCTTCCTGTAGCTCAAACCCTCCAACCCTGGCAATGTCCTCGTAAAACTTTTCTGAACCCTTTCAAGTTTCACAACATTCTTCCTACAGCAGGGAGACCAGGTTGCATGCAATACTCCAAAAGCGGCTGAACCAATGTCCTGTACAGTTGCAACATGACCTCCCAACCCCTATACTCAATGCACTGACCAATAAAGGCAAGCATACAAAACACCTTCTTCACTACCCTGTCTACCTATGATTTCACTTTCAAGGAACTATGAACCTGCACTGCAAGGTATCTTGTTCAGCAATACTCCCCAGGACTTTACCATTAAGTGTATAAGTCCTGCCCTGATTTGCCTTTCCAAAATGTAGCACTTCATATTTATCTAAATTTATCTCAGATGATCTGTCTGCAACACCCTCCCTCTGCGAATATGAATGAAAAAAAATGCATCATCTGCAGTTCTGATGCAAACTGTCAGATTAACAAAATCAAAGAATCTTAATATTGTCCCTGAATTGGGAAGTGGGTCAAAATAAAATCATTTTCCTCATCAAGATGTGGAAAGAACATAATTCATTCCAAAAGGCATTACTGACTTACATGCAAATAATAACATCACTACAATGTGAAAACAAAGGTCAGTACAGCACAGGAACAGGCCCTTTGGCCCATCAAGATGAAACATAGCTTTTCTATTACCTCAACTTGCAGATCTTGCAATTGTGAACTGCTATGCATTGCTTCACCTCTCCAAACCTTGACCGCATCATCATCTAGATGCCTAACAACAGCAAGTGCATGGGAACTGCATCACCTTTAAGTTTCTCTCCATGCCACAGACAGTCTAGGCTTAGGGTGTATATTATTTGAAAAACCACCAGATTTTTTGGAGGGGGCAAAGCCACTGTGGTAAATTGCATGACATTGTGCACATATCCAAAATGTATTTGATATGGTTCCACATGAAAGGAAATTAGCAAAACCCAAGACTAAGGAGCTTCACAGTAAAATGGGAATGGATGCGACAGACAGAAAAGAATGAATACTCATTAAAAGGGTTAACTTGGGGAATGAGCTTGTTTTGCACTTCTCATAACTCTAATTAGCATCAATGTTTTGGTCAAATATTCTGATAATTGTAAGCTGGAAGGGACAGCAGAAAGCAAGGAGGTAATCTGGAATTTATTGGATTTGTGGAACAAGTAAAGAGACAGCTAAAGGTTGATAGCCAAATGGAAAGACAGGAAGCTTTGTGACTCATAAATGATTTTCAGATAATTAGAATGAAATTCAAAGAGACCTAGCTCGCTAGCTGTGTCAGATGCCTCACATATCAAACCAATATGGAAAGAAAAGGCACACAGTGTTTAACTGTGTAGCTAAAGGAATATACATTCCTTTACACCCCCATGACGTGCAGGAGAGGTCTGTGCTAGGGAACCAGACTCCCTGGCTTTCTATTACTTTCCTATTGGCAGCTGATTGGGTTCATTCTCAATTCAGTCAACTGTCAGCTTGGGACATGAAGTAAAAATTGATCATGAGCTCCTGTGAAACTCAATTTAGTTTGAAGGAATGTATCCAAGTTCTCTCAAATCATTAACTTACTGCAGCTGAGAGTCTCTGTCACTATTTTGTTATCTAGCTGCCTCAATCTGTTGCTGCCTGATCTGGGAGATCTCTGATGTAAATTTAGAAAGGGGAGTTGCAATGAGATCTGGGTGCCCTCATACGCCAGTCACTGAAGGTGTGCATGCAGGTGCAGTAGGCAACGAAGGTGGCAAATGGTATGTTGGACATCATACCAAAAGGATTCAAGTACAGGAACTGGGATTCTTGCTGCAGTTATAAATGGCCATGGAGAGACCACACCTAGAATACTGTGTTCAGTTTTGGTCTCCTTCTCTGAGGAAGGGCGTGCTTACCATAGAGGGAGTGCAGCGAAGGTTTACCAGAATGATTCCTGGACTGATTCGGTTAGCATTATTTTTGCTGGAGTTCAGAAGAATGAGGGAATCTCAGAGACGTATAAAATTCTAACAGGACTTGGAAAGGTAAATGCGGGAAGGCCACTCCCGATGGTGGATGTATCCAGAAGCGGGTGTGACACAGGATAAACCATTTAAGACTGAGATGAGGAGAAACTTGTTCATCCAGAAGGTGGTGAGCCTGTGTAATTCACTACCAGAATAAACAGTCAAGGCTGAAACAGTGTGTGTTTTCAGTGGGGGGTTGGATAAAACACTTGGGGCTAAAAGGGATCTAAGGATATCTTCAATAAACAGGAACAGGCTACAGTTGGATGATCAACCATGGTTATAATGAATGGCAGAGCAGGTTTGAAGGGCCGAACGGTCCATTCCTGCTCCTTTTTAAAAAAAATTTTCCGTGAGTTCCATGTAAGAGACTTGGATGCGAAGCAAATAAACAGGTTCAAATGGTAATGGTGATTATTTTTAACATTAACAGAGGCAAAATTGTTCAAGTAGATCATTATCTCCATTTAAATGTTTGGACAGATCAAATATCAATGCACATAGCTCTTTAGTGAGAATGTTAGGGACCCGCAATGTGCTTTCAGAATAATCTGCTTGCCTCTCTTGCCCATGAGACTGAGAATGATATCAAATTAAATATGCAATTGTTTCACATTAATTCTTCACTGGTGATGACTTGAATTAAAAGTCACTGATCAAATAAAGGAATCATTGTAGAATTATGCGATGTTCTTGTCTTATTTCTTGCACACAGAGCAGGACAGGATGCACAATCCCATTGTATTTTAGTCTTTCATGTAGTGAGCACACCACCTGCAGCCAGTCTTCACTTAGAGGAATGGGAGCAAATGAATAGCTATTTTATCCCTTATAATTTTAATAACTGCATCAATAGGTGCTCAGTTAATAGGAAAAGTATGTGATGTACAGACGTGGGATTGGAATGCTTGGGAATGATTTGGTTTTGCTTCCAAGGAGCAGAAAATCTCAATGATACTGTGACCTCAGCTACTTCTTTCTCACACTTAAATAAATCATGATACAAATTAGAGATACATATAGATCAGGAGAACTTTAGGCATATTTTTCAGTCTGTGCTGAGTTAGCTGTGAAGACACTAGATGCTGTAACTGGATTCTGTATCGTCATTCAGGAGGGGAATAATTTTATCAAAATGATGCTGCTCTCCTCTTGGTAGGTCAGGCAGCGGCCAGGGAGAGAGAAACAGTGTTCACATTTCAGGTCGATAAAACTTCAGCATGACATCTGAAAGGCCATCAGCCTGAAACGCTAACTCTGCTTTCTCTCTTCACAGAAGTTGCCAGACCTGCCGAGTTTCTCCAGCACTTTCAGTTTTCATTTCAAATCTCCAGCATGTGCAGGATTTTGCCATTGTCTTGTGGTGATGATATGACAGCCAATGCTGCAGCAAAGGTAGGTTTGTGGAGATCTCCACCGAGTATAGGATTAGGATCGCACTATTCAGTGAACAAGCTGTCAAGTGAAGAGATCTTTGCTGAACTGGGAGCTATACTTGTGAGGGAACCCCAATGTAAGCACTACCTTTAACTAAGGAGGTAAGATGAAAGTAAGTGAGAATATATTTGGTCCCATTGTCTTACAACCATGGAGAGAAAAATTAGACCAGCAGAAATAATATTCTTATTCAATCATTTGATTTTCTTAGCACTAATTAACAGATTACAAATAGGATTTTGTTGATACATCTAAAGGAGAATTCCTAGAAACATGAATCTAGGCAGGTGAGGTTTGTCTTTGGTCAGTAAATTAACTCTAATGTCATTCTCATCATAGGCCTCCAGCAGATCAATGAAAAGATTTAGCAGAGCAGGCTGATGGAAGCTAAACCAATGTAATCAAGAGTTGTTTCCACAAAGTGGGGTGCAGCGTTACCTGCAGGAGTTCAAAAGCAGCCAGCAAATCTCCGGCAGTGGAATTCCCCCGGTAGATCTGATAATACTCCAGTTGTGGAGGGAAGCGAGGAGGACAATATTCCTCCTCTGCCATCTTTACCACAGGCTTTGAAAATGTTCGACCAATGTACTCCGCTTTCCCCTGCAAAGGTAGATGTGTTAGAAACTACCCAGCACAACTGAAGCAAACAGAAACAGATGTAGTCATACAGGTTTCCCAGATGTTCTTCATTGGACAGTATGCAACAACAGACTGTGAATTTGACAAGAGTTACTCAAAAAGGATTGAGTATATATTTCTGGATGGAACATAGCAGGACTCAATACTAATCAGATGCTACAGTTAGATTTCGGAATCGATCAGATTGCTTTTTATGACTTGCATAATTTTTCATGTATGTCTAATCTGGGAATCCTGGCATGTGACACCTATATTATCGCTGAAGGATTTCTATTCGCTACATCTGCTACTCCTTTACACAGTCTGACTAAATTTCTACTGAGATTATCAGATTCACTTTAAAATTATTCTTACCGGATCTATGTCAAACTTTGATGGCTGTTTTGTTTGATGTAATAACATATTCATAAGATGAAACAGTGACAAGGTTAACTAATGTTGTAATTCTTTGTAGAATGAACTACATCTACTCGTCTACTGTAAGAGCAGAAACATTCAAACACCTGGAATTTTCCCAAAGAGAGTTCTTCCATTGGTTGACTCAGTGAAAACTTTTACAAATTAACTTTTAACTATTCAACGTTGACACCCCTCGAAGTATAAGCCTGTCTTGATATTGTAATAAACAGCATTACTGCAGATTAGCTGCAAGTTGAACACATAACCTGCTTCCTCGAATAAATCTAAAGTAATTTCATTTCACACAACAAATGACTTGAAAGATATATCGCATCAGGTTGTCAATTGACATTCAGTTCTCAAGATTTTTGAATCCAGATGCATTTTCCGGTGAGGACTAATAAAAATCATGACTGTAAATATTTTTAAGTCCAGTAATTTTACAGCACTGTAAGTCACAATGGAATAGTCTTATTTGAGAACTTCAGAATAACTAAGCAAGGACATGCAAAACAGAAAATAAAACAATGTTTTATGGCTAATTAATTATGAAGTATGCTTGCATTTGCTCTAAGTCACTTTCAACATGATGGTCTTGAAGAAAAGAAATCTGTTTTCTTTGTTTTCTCCATTATTTGCCATTTTTTTCTCTGCTCTTCCTTTCCTGAAGCTGGTGATTCTCTATGAGAGCAGCAAACACCCTCTGGCAACTTATCCAAGCAGTTATGGTGTGTGCTCAGAATGGACTAGGCTTGATCTCTTAGTTTTTGGTGGTGGAGGTACAAGGGATGCATTAGTTCATGAATTTACAGACCAGTGTGATAAATAATTCTGCTTTTACTCCATTTCCAGAGTGTCGTGGACGCACACATTTTGGTTTTTACATTTGTTCTGTGCTAGACCATTTTCAAACAGCAAAATTATAGGAACGAAACATCTGTTGAGATAAATATACCTGTGCAAGATTTGAAAATTGGAAGGGGAGAAAAACAGAAACCACATGAAGATTTTCACATAATAATCCTCAGTGTTTACTTAGTTCAAATATACAGTGTTATCTGTGGCTATGCATAACTCACAGCAGTAACTTTAAAGATGCAACACAGTTTTCATTTGAAATATAATCAGAAAGTAAGGGGTAAATGGTTTTGTTGCTGCATCTTTTATATTGAGCCGACTAACGTTCTATTCTAAGTTCTATTCTAAAGCTACTGAAATCACAACTATCAGAACAATGCACACTCTACTTAGCCCAGAATGCACAAGGAGTCCAGCAACAGGGGAAAGTTAGAAAAAAGCAGAAACATACCATTAGCCTTTACTTAACATCCAAATTATTTATAGTGGGAGAAATTGAAACTTCGAAGCAGCAAAGATTGAACCACAGTGATTTTAAAAAGCAACACGCTCAGCTCTAAACACTCACAGGTTTCAATTTCTCAATCCAAAGTTGTTTTGTATATCTGTTTAACATGGTTAATTTTATAAAGGTTGTTGTATTTCAGCAGACCCATTGTGGAAAGTGATATATAATCATAGTGCTTTCCATTACTCAACACATTAGTGTGAGGGGAAAGAGGCCTGTGTCTGTTGATATAATGTCCATCCTGCTAACAGTTCGTACAGGGACTTTGCTGTGCTTTATAAAGGAATCCATGAATTTCACACATTCCCATTTTCTCAGCTGAATAAAGTTGTATGAAGAGCAGTGATTTTCCAGAAGAACAGGTTGAAGTAAAGGTAAATGAAAATAGATGCTGAGACAGACATATTAGGAACTGCAGATGTTGGAGAATCCGAGACAACAAGGTGCAGAGCTGGATGAACACAGCAGGCCAAGCAGCATCATAGGAGCAGAAAGGC